AATAATTTTTTTTTCATTGCTCTCTGATTGCTCTATAATTTTCATTCATTATTTTATGCTTCGATTTTATCATCATCATCATCATCAGGATTTAAAGTTTTGAATTTTGTTCATTATTGGTTTTTGTGTGTGTGTGTGTGTGTGTGTGTGTTTGTCTGTGTGCTGTGAATCAACCAATCCGCTAATCAATCATCAATCGTGTTTCTCAATCATGGTCATCATTTCCTAATCATTCTTTCACCATCAACCGACCAACCAACCAACCAACCAACCGACAACAGCAACAACAAAATCAACATGTCACCATGATTAATTGATTGTGTGTGTGTTCATGATGATTTTTATCATTCTCAATGTAGAATATTCTGGTAAATTTTTTTTTTTCATTTAATTTTTGTAAACAAAAAAATTCAAATTTTTCTCTTTCTCTCTCTCTCTTCATCAATCCATTTGATTGATTGATTGATTGGTTAATATATATGGATTTATTATTTTATTTGTGGTTCCGTGTGTTTGTTTAGCTAATAACCACTCTAGCAGTGGTGTTGGTGATGATGTACAAATATAAAAATTTTTCAAGCTTATAAAACGATCAATCAAACAAAACAAAACAAAAAAAAATCCGATCAAAAATCACCATCAACCATCAATTTTTTGACTTTTTTTTTCTCTCCATTTTCAAATTTGTTTTTGGGGCCGACTATGACTATGTTATCAAGAATAAAACTATGATGACTAGAATTTTCGGATTAACAATGGAAAAAATAAAAATCTGGTCCCTGTATTTGGTTTCTATTGCCCTAAACACACACACACACACACACACCGACGATAATCACGTATATCAAAATGGAAAAAAATAGCCCGAAATAATAACGATGTACCAAACAACACGAACACGAACAACAACAACAACAACCGATCCATATAATCATTTGATGGTTAATTCAGACATTACATTGAAATTCTGGTTATTTATATTATTACACACACTTTCAATTTGATTATTTAAACATGAATTGGCTGCTGCTGTTTCTATTGTTGTTGTTGTTGTTATTAATGTGAAATTATAATGAAAAAAAACATCAACATCGACAACAACAACAACAACAAAGTGAAGCCAAAGTTCTGAAAATAGAAAAATTGTGTATTCATGGTTTTTAATTTGAAATTTTTTTTTTTTTTTTTTTTGCTTCTGGCTCACCATCTTTTTATTTTCATTTTATGGTTTTCACTCTTTTTCTCTCTCTCTCTCTTCATATATATCTGATATTTTTCGATCGTTCGTTTCTGGAGAACCACAACCAACGCAACGGAATAAAATTTGATGATAATGTGTCTGTGTGTGTGTGTGTGTATGGTGGTCCGAAAATTTTCGTTACCTTTTTTTTCGTGCCCCGTCGTCTATAATGACTTGGCGTTCTTTTTGTTGTTGTTATTGTTATGTTTGTGTAAATGTTTTTCTTTAGCCTGGCAAGAAAATTCAATTAAACTACATTTTTTTTCTTTGTTCGTCTTTTCTTCTACATTTCATCCGGTTGTTGTTGTTGTTGTTGTTGTTGTTTTCGGTACAGTCAAAATATTATAATGTTGACGAAGTGAATAAAAAAAAAAGAAATCGATAAATAAATTTAATAAAAATGCAAGTTTTGTTGAATAATTTCGGCTATTTCGACTTTGATATACAAATATATATTGTTTTTTCTGTTCCAATATGATGAATCTGTTTAATTTTTTTTTCATTCGATTAGTGATTAAAAATTGATTTTTTTGGTTTGCTTGCCTGCCTGCCTGCCTGGCTGCCAGTTGATAACCGAAACAAAACAAAAAAAAAAATTTTGTTGATTGAAATCCAATGTGAAATTGAAACTGTGAAGCCAAAAAAATTTTACAATCGGCCATCTGTATTCGATCATCATCATCATCATTCAATAACATTCATTTGCATACGTGTGTGTGTGTTTTTGGATCTATTTTCCCAATGCACTCACCCATTGTATGTCATATGTAAATGAATTGAATTTTTTTTTTTTTTTTTTTTTTTGGTTCCATTGAAAATGTTTTTGTTGATATAATAATAATGAAATGATGAACGTGTTATTGAATTGCCCATTCTCTCTCTGTGTATGTGTGTGTGTGTGTGCCGAGAATCGAGAAAAGAATTTTGATTTCATTGCACACAGTGAATTGAAATTGAAATGAGGAAAAATAGATTGATAGAATTTGTTTCTCTCACCGTGTGTGTGTGTGTGGGTGTCTGTCTGTTTAAAATGTGTGTGTGAAAAAAAAATAGAAAAAGTTTACATGAACAAATTTTTCGTTTTTAAAATTAAATTTAAAATTCTATCATAATGAATATATAATGGTGAAATGGATGAACAAACAAACAAACAAACAGGCAAGCAAGCAACTGACTAACATGAATAAAATCTTGCAACTCATTCATGAAACTCAACCTAACTAGATATTTTGGTTGTTACCGTTCCATGGTCTCATCATCATCATCATCATCAATCATGATGGCTAGGCCAAGGTTTTTTTTTGGTGACCCATAAAAATATTGCATATCTAAAGTTATGCAATATTGCTGGTTGTCATATGATGATGATGATTACTATTGGTGATGTCTGATTGATTTTTTATGACTTTGTTTCTTTTTCACACACACACTGTGTATATATTATCGATCATCACCATGATGGCGACGAAGAAGAAGAAGAAGAAGAAGAATATCAAGTTTATTCATTGTAACAAAAACTTAATTTCTACAAATTTGGATTCTGGTCAAAATTCTGTTTTTATTTTATTTTATTATTGTCGTTTTTAATCAAATTGGATAAAATGTTTCTGTGTGTGTGTGTGTGTGTGTGTGTATGGTAACAGTACAAAGACAATGAAAACAGAATAAAAACGTGATCAACAATTCAATTTGTCGTTCCGGAATAATGAATTCATATATATATTCATCATAATATTCCGAGTTTTTTTTTAATTCTCTTCTTCTTTTATTCCATTGTTTTCGGGCTTTTTTAATTATTCATTACATACACACAGAGAGAGAGAAACTCATGTTGAGATATAGAATTTCCATAAAGCTGATCATTATTGCAGAATCTCTATGTTTGCGTGACATTTATTCATTTGATAACCAATCATATATGAATCAAATCAAATCAAATCAAATCACAAAAATGACCGACATAAAGAGTAGTAGCGGTGGTTATTAACAAAATTATCGTAAATCAAAAACAAAAGAGATTAAACACTGACGTTGTGGAAAACTAACAGAAAAAAATTGAAATTGAAAGCCAGAAAAAAATTTTTCGGGTCCTTTTTTTTGTTTTTTTGTCCTCGTTCGTCATCATTCATTCATTAAATGGATGATGATCATGATGAAAAACAAATATTTGAACCATATCTTATCGTTTCTTTTTTTTATGGAAAAAAAAGAACAAAACGAATGATGAAAAACATAAGAAATCAATTATCGATAAAACACTCACACGCACGCACACACACAAATTATGAATCATCGATATCATCAGTTATTCAGAATGAAAACAACAAGAATTTGGCCAGAATTTTATATGATGACTAGTTTTTATTAAAAATTTTTTTTCCACTCAATTTAATTGATTGATTGATTGATATTAATTAACTATACATCATCATCATCATCGTTGATATATTCTAAATATAGAATATTTATGTGTGTGTGTCTAGAATATTCTTAATTATGAAACCTAGAAATATAAGGAATATATATTTGTTATTATTATTCTTGTTTGTTTGTTGTTGTTGTTGTTATCGTTTTTCGATCAACGACAACAACAACAACAACAAACTTGATTGTGTTTTATATATAGACGGTCGAGAATAAATCGAATCAAATCGATCAATATTTTATTTGCCAATCTATTTGCTGATTGTGTGTGCATGTGTGTGTGTGTGTTGAAGAATGGTTTATATGCAAATTCGAACGATACATTGATACATCGTGATATTAAAATGTCATATGGTGTTGTAATGATAAACATTTTCACTGCGAATAAATTAACAAACACGAAAAAAAAGTGCCATTTCCATTTCAACCAAGAATAATAAATAAATAAATAAATAAATTGGAATTTTTGGTACGAAAAAAAAATCATAGATTCATCATCCTAATTATATCCGGTTTTATTAAATTGATGACTTACCCGAAAAAAAAGTTTCAAATTCTTCTTGGAACAAAAGAACACCATCATAGACAAAACAAATATGAAAACGTATATAATGTGTGTGTGCACGCCTGTCTCTCTCTCTCTCTCTCTTTAGAGACTTTGGTTTCATTGTTTTTATTCTTATTCTTGATTTTCGCTGAATGTGTGTTTGTGTGTGTATGTAATTCTCATCATTCCTATGACGATGAGATTCTTTCATTCAATTTCTTTTTTTTTCTTCACACATTTCTCATTAATTTCATTACCATCATTTTTATTCACTTGAAATAATGATGATTCTGCTGCTACTGCTGCTGCTGCTAATGATGATGATGATGATGATGTAGCAATAATAATGTTTCAAATATATCGATGATGATTATTATTTCCAAATAATAATAATGATGATGATGACGAGTAATGACAATTTATATAACATCATTATAATCATAAGATCATTTTTTGATGATGATGATGATTGGCATGATATAATGATAATAATAAAATCGAAATGAATGAAAAGATTCTTTTTTTTTTTGATATTTCATTCGAAATTCAATTTCCATTCAGAATGATCATGAATGAATGAATGTAATGAGAATGAGCGAAAGAAAAAAAATTGTTATGCCATTCATAAATGACATGTACGATAATGATCTGGTAAAAAAAAAATTTACCGGATACGAAAAAAAAAAAAAAAATGCAGATGTTGATTTATTGAATTCAAACAAACAAACAAACAAACAAACGAACGAACAAAATTTTTTCATTTTTCACCAAATCATAATTAATCATTTTTTTCAGTGTTTTTGATGGTTTAGTGAAAAAAAAACATTTGTAAAACAAATGATCTTTTTTTTGGCATTTCTTAAAAATTACTATTTGATGATACATTTTTACCATTGATAATTACATTATGTATCAATGATGATGTATTACCAAATTCAGTGATTAAATGACGCCAATCTGAACAATTTAATAACAGACAATTGCCACGTTTACCAATTTCTAATGATCCATATTCATTTGATCTATTCAATGCATATGCTGCATTCAATGTTGTTGCAATCAATGATTCATTCATTGTCATACCCAAATGAATTGTGGCAAGATTCATTGCCATTGGTAATGAATAACACATTGCATTTGGATTGTAATCACTAGCTATTACAATTGGTACATTATTGGCTATCATTTCACGTACAGGTGGTTTACGTAATTTCAATAGATAACAAGTTGTTGGATTTATAATGCCAGCTATGTTTTTGTGGCCATTGCTTCAATTCCAGCAGTATTAAGATATTCTAGATGTGATACTGAACAGGCATCAAGTCGTGCAGCTAAACAACCGGAATTCTGATCACTCAATTCATCACCATGAAATGCTAGTTTTGATTCTGGATACAATTGTTGTGCTTTTCGGAGAATTCGTTCAGTTTGTTGATTATCATAAACACCAGTTTCACAGAATACGTCGAAAAATTCAATTTTTAATTCCGGATCATCATGTGATAATTTTTCCATCATTTTACATACATGTTCAACACCTTGATCGGCTGTCATTCCGCTGGTTAGTTGAAGAAAAAAAAAAAACGAAAATTTTAATTCGAAAAATTCAAATTTTTTTTTCTTTGTTTACCTTGGAATCGAATGTGCACCCAAAAATGTTGGTACCAATTGTATCGGTGTCATGGTTGATGCCTGTTGAATAACTCGTAACATTTTTCTTTCACATTCATAATCAAGTCCATAACCGGTTTTACATTCTAATATTGTTGTTCCACAGCTGATCATTCGATTGATACGCAATAATAATGATTGTAAAAGTTCCGATTCATTGGCACGTATTGTTTCACGTACCGTATGATTAATACCGCCACCAGATTCATGTATTTCCATATAGGTTGCACCACGTAATTTTCGATCAAATTCATCAATACGATCACCGGCCCAAATTGGATGTGAATGTGAATCAATTAAACCCGGTATTATTGAACGACCAATACCATCGATCGTATCGATTGTTTGCCAACAATTATTACCATAATTTTGACATAGCCAATTATCAATACGATCATGATGATCAATGGCCATTATACGGCCATCATCATCGAATACAATCGAAACACCAACACCATGATCACGTCTTTCAATTGATTCAATTTTATCTTGTTTTTCACCAGCTAAAAATGGTTGATTATTTGAACAAATTGTAACAATTTGTTCACAATTTATAATCGCTGTTTTTGGTTTCACCATTATGATCTTGGTGGTTGTTGTTGTTTTGGCTCAAAATTCAGAAAAATCAGAAAAAAAATCACTTCACTTCAACATCAACGATGATGATCAGCTGAACTGAACTGAATTTGAACTTGATTGAAACTCAAATGAATGGAAAAAAAATACATGAATGTTATCATCTCATTCGAATGATATGATTTGATTCAAGGACAAACACGTTTGTTATCATCAATGTAATCAATGTTCAATGACGAAAAATTACCTTGCCTAGCAACATGGTTTTTTCTGAAAGAATTTCCTACTGTGTGTATGGGAAACCAGTTTTGTTTATTTCTTTGAAATTTAATCTGTGTTAATGGAATTTTATTTTTAATTTGAAATTTTCTTCATTTTTTTCTATAGATTCATAAACAAAATATATATATAAATTATGAGATGGCCATCTCATTCATTCGAACATTATTCATTATTCATGGATGAATAAAGAAAAACAGAAAAAAATGGATCAACGAAATCCAACATCATCATCATCATCATCATCATCATCATCAACGATGATGTCAAATATTCATTCAATCGGAAATGGAAACAATACAATAATGAATGCAAATAATAATAGTACACCACCATATCCAAATCCAAATGAATTAATACATGCTATTATGAATGGTAATATTTGTAAAGGTTTTCCAGAGCCACCATCACGTTTGATAAAATTATTTATAAGTTCAACACGTACTGATTTTGAAATTGAACGACAACATTTACATGAAATTATTCTACCAAAATTAGAACGTTATTGTAATAGTTTATCATTAGATTTATTAACTATTGATCCACATTGGCAATTACAGCCACCATTGATTACAATAGAATATTCTCAACAACAGAATCAACAGAATTCATGTAGTAATAATAATAATGGTGATAAATGCTCAACAATGATAAGACAGCAACCATCAACAGTAACACCAGTGATATATGATCAAAATTCTAATCTAATTGATCCACATGAATTTGATTTACAATTAAAAGAGATTGAAGAATGTTCACAGCAATCAATATCAACATTTTTTATGTGTTTGATTGGTCATAAATATCGACCAATTGCATTACCAACAGTGATTGCATCGGATGATTTTCAACAAATTTTTACAGCTGCCGCTGAATCCGGTTTAGGCGATGTGAATCTATTACGTTCATGTTATAAAGAAAATCGTAATCTACAGCCAGAACCACATTATGTATTGTTGGAACCACGTCGTGCATCACGACAATATGAAGAAGAATTAGAACATATTGCTAAACTGGTTGAATACGGTTCAAAAGTTGCTGCACGTGAAGGATTATTAAGTAATAATTTTGGTGTTGTAATGTCAGCCGTTCATCAACAAACATTACATGCATTATATTGTGCTCGCCAATATCAATTAGGTGGTCTTGTTACATCACCAACTACAATGAATAATAACATTTCTTCCAATCGCCATCATCATCCTCATCATATGCACCACCAACAACAACAACAACAACGAATTCATCCACTTAAATCACCACCACAACGATTATCATCATCATCACCATCATCATCGACAACAATAGCAAAGAAAAAAATTCTTGGTTCCGGTAAACTTGGTTCATTATTAACTGGAACATCTAACATCAACACTAATGTGAATAGTAGCAATAATAATCAAAATGACAATAACAACAACAATAATGATAATCAACATTCATCGATGAAAATTGTAAAAAAACCATCACCACCATTAACACCAACACGTCATCGTTTAATGCATCAGGTATCATTACAACAGGGACCAACACAGAAAAAAATTCAAATGACACATCGACAAACATCGGTGTCAACAAATTATGAACTAATGCAACAACCAGTTGATCGAATGTTGTGTTTTATTCGTCAATTAGAAGGTGTTAATTTTAACAATGCATCTGTAACAAGATTTTTTGATGTTACACCAACAACAACAATGTCAACATCAACAACAACAACAACAACGACGACGACAACAACAACAACAACGTCTTCCAGTGATGAATTTAAACAACAACAACAATCGATGAATTCATCTCTTCCAATTCCATCGAATAATCAACAGCAACAACAACAACAACAACAACAATCAACAATGAGACAACTATATGCACCTACAGCTCAAAATGATATACAACAATTGATTGAAGATGTAATACTTGGATTGAAAAAAGGAAATGTACATTATTTTAAGTGAGTAGCAGATTTATTTTTATTTTTTTTTTTTTTGGTGAAACAAAACGAATTTTTCCATTTTTTTTTTTGTTTAAATTAATCATTTATTTTTCTTCTATCAGCATATCATGGAGCCCACCACCAGATCAATGTATTCAAACACGAACATATACATTACCAGCAAATTATATTGAACGTTTTGGTGAAACAGTATTACGTACATTGAAATCATCGATTGATGAACATTGGAAAGCAATGCAACAATCAATATTTGGTCCAATTGCTCCTGGTTCTAGTTTTGAATATCCTGGCGATATTGTACGTGAAGCACATTCACATTTATCAAATTTTCGTCGTGTAATGCGTTCATTGGGTATGGCACAGGCTATAAATCATTCTGATTTTGGACATTTACTTCATATTCGTGAATTATTAATAACTGATATACATGGTGCTGGTAGTGGTTCCACTAATACCGTTACTAGTGGACCAACAAATACTGGAACATCTGCATCACGTTGTACAGCTACAAGTCATCTTCATCATTCACAACAACAGAATTTTCGTCATCAACCAATTATTGTTACCGGTCGATCAGGATCAGGTAAATCAACATTATTAGCACAGGTATTTACCTATGCACCGGATTGGTTAGCAGAAAATTCTGATCGTGATCAAGTAATTCGTATTGTACGACAATGTGGTCAAAGTCCTAGTTCAAATTTTGCATCAGAATTATTACGCAGTCTTTGTATACAAACATCGGTTGCATATGGATTGGAATCGCATCTGACACGTAGTGCATCGGCACATGAATTATCTGAATTGGCAATCTGTTTCCAGGAATTGCTTAAACTTCGTAATCCTAATGATTGTGATCTATTAATCATTTTGGATGATCTTCATCATCTACAATCGGCATTACAGTCTAGTGCATTATTAGGTTGGATGCCATGGCATCTTCCACCAAATGTACATTTCATATGTTCAGTTGCATTAGAATCAGAATCTGTATTAAGTATATTACGATCACGTATTTCATCGGAAAATTTTATCTGTCTTGATGATGATCATCGTATTGATTCTATGAAACATTGTCATTCTATTTATTCGATGGTACAATCAAAATTACGTGATGAAAAACGAACATTGACATCGATTCAATGGGATTTTGTACGACAAAAATTGAATAGTTCATCTGATCTATTAAGCAATATTAAGAGTAATAGTCAACGTACAGAACAACAACAACAACAGCATCAAGAAGCTTTAATGACACCATTATTTGCTAATATGTTAGCTACAGCTGTATTAAGTAATTGGGAATCATTCTATACACCAGAATATTTACCAACAAATGTAGATGAATTAGTAACGACAATTCTGGATGATCTTGAGGATTGTATACCATATCAATTAGTGAGAAGAATTTGTTCATATTTGACATGTACAAAATATGGCCTAAGAGAAATGGAATTATTTCAATTAGTACAGGAAACATTAACGAGTCAAATATGGCCAGCAATACAACAACAACATATGAGAATGCGAACAACAACAACAACAACAACAACGACGACGACGACAACAACAACAACGGATACATGTACATCAAGTAATACTACTACACCGGATCCATATGATCCACCAAGATCAACATCATCAACATGGATTATATTGAAATCAAAATTGCGTCATTTACTAAAAGAATATTATGTACAGGGACAATTATATTTCCAATGGCGTAGTTCGAAAATAACAAAAGCAATACAGGAACGTTATCTAACAGAAATACGACAAATTCGAGCCATACATTTAGAATTGGCACAAGCATTTTATAATTCATTTACTGAGGTAAAAAAAGCCGTTTTTTTTCATTAAATTAATTTTTTTCCATTGAAAAATTTATCAATTATGCTTTTTTTTATATAGCTAAATTCTTCCGGAAAAGAATCCGAATCAGTTCGTGAAGCCGATGAACTGTGGTATCATCTATTGTATTCTGGAAATCGTGTCGAACTTAAAACAAAAGCATTATTGAATATTCGTTTCCTTAATACTATTGTACAGGGTGTTTCATTTTGTTATCTACGTTGTATATTGGATGCTGTACGATCACAGATTTTTGACTGGGATATTGAACAATTATATGCAATGCTTAAACAATCGGTACATGTCGTAACACAGGAACCGAATCAATTACCAGTGGAAGCATTACTATGGCTGGTACCATTTACAGCTACAAATCAAACACAACAATTATCATTGACAAATTTGATCAAAACAACAACGAATTTATCGAATTTTGATACGGTTATTAAACCGAATAAATCAACACAGAATAAATCATCATCACATACATTACTTCATCCTACATCATCACTGCCAACATCAATATCGTCATCATCATATACACCTGGATCATCATTATTATCAACATCATCGTCATCATCGTCAACAACATCAAGTTATTTAGCTGAATTTTTACGGCAATGTTATCGTAGCTGTATTGAATCAATGGATCGACCATTATTATATCCAATAAATATATGGCTTAATTTACCAATACCACCACAGGTTACAATGATCACAAGTCCATGGCCATCAATAACGCGTGCAGTATCGACACCGGATTCACAACATTTAATCGTATGCGAACAATGTTCATTACATTTTTATCATTTACCAACAAAAACTGTAGCGAAAAGTTTAGAAGGTCATAAATCAACGATAACATGTTTGCATTTATCCACAAGCGGTAAATGGTTAGCAACCGGATCGGATGATAGTTCCGTACATTTATGGTATATTGATGCTGAATTAATGGAAATCAATGATTGTAGAATACGACATAGATTTATGTAAGTCTTTTTTTTCTGTTTGTTTGTGATTCATTTGAAATGATTTTTTCCCGGAATTTTTCCTCACAAATTCTCTTTCTCTCTCTCTCTCTATTCATTCATCATAGTCATCATAGTGCAAGTGTTTTATGTATTACCATTAATCATATGGAAACATTAGTGATTAGTGGATCGGAAAACGGTGCTATTTGTGCAGTAAATCTTCATAACGGTACATTAATCACAAGATTAGAACATCATAAATCGATGGTTACCTGTATTGGTATAAATACCGGTGATGATGTACTTGTTTCCGGTTCAACTGATCGTACAGTTGTTGTTTGGAGTCTGGATTCATTCTGTATATTGAATGAAATATTATTAATGCGTCCCGTATTACATATGGATATTTCATTGGATTCAACATTTTTATTATTATCATTGGATGATAATAGCTTACAAATAAGAGCTTTAACCACTGGTACTGGTGTTCATACATTGCAGCCATCATCATCGAATATGGCTACAACGGCTGTTGTTAGCTATGTACGTTTTGCTGAAGATAATTGTCGTTGTGTTGTTGGCTATGCTGATGGTCGTTTACTTTTATTCGATATACATTCATCACGGCAACTACAAACATTGAATGGTCATAGTGAAATGATTACATCGATTTTACCACAAAAAGATGACCATTTTCTATTCACTAGTGGTGGTAATAAGATAATTATCTGGAATTTTTATCCAGTTCGTCGTGTAGATCATACACCATCACCATTAGCTGTAGAAGGTCTGGATCGATCAATACATGAAATAAATATTGTTGAATCGATGGCTATCAGTTCGACAACTGGTTTAATGTCATCATTGAATGATCCATTTATGGATAATTCATCTGGAAAAGATACGGGTAAAGATTCTAAAGAATCGGGAACCATTAGTGGTAGCAATATTGTTGGCGGTGGTGGTGGTAGTGGTAGTGGCCGAAATTCTCGTTCATCATCTGATCGTCGTAAACATAAAACATCATCATCATCATCATCGACACATGGATCATTTAGAAAAAAAGTTTCCGTTTCAACGATCGATAATCATCGTGAACCAATTACCTGTGTTTCAGTAGCTAGAGATGGTCAATACATTGTAACCGGTGGTCGTGATTGTTTAGTAAAAATATGGTTCAGTGCAACTGCCGAAACCCATACAACATTGGATGAAAGTTCAGCACCAATAACATGTGTGGATATTTCACCAAATAGTCAATTTATTATTGCCGGTGGTGAAGATGGACAAATACGTTCATGGTCATTGACATTATCAATGTATTTATCGAAATTTGGTGAACATATACCTAATGCATTGGCTACTATTCGAATATTATCGGATAATAAACGTGCATTATCGGCTGATGTGCAGAATATAATCCGATTATGGCAAGTGGATAATGGTATACAGATTAAAATAATTCAACATAAACCTATAAATGGATTATTTGTACATGGTGGAACGTGTTTTGCTATTGGTGGCAAAATTGACAATTGGTAAGTAGTTTGAATTTGATGATAATAATAATAATGTATTTGAATGTTTTCAAATCATCATCATCATTTGATTTATTATTATTAACTGGCATATCTATCTATCTATCTATTTTTATTTTTATTTTATTATAAAAGCCTTAAATATTGGCATATATTTGAGCCTGAAATGGAAAAAAGTGTATCACATAGTGATACTATTACATGTTTTACTTGTACACATTCAGGTAAAACATTAATCACTGGATCACAGGATATGTCATTAAAAGTTTGGGAAACATCGACGGGAAAATTAACACAAGTACTTGTTGGTCATGAAGAAGCAATATCATGTGTAGCAACGGCAGCATTAGATGAAATGCTTGTCGTATCCGGTGCACAGGATTGTAATCTAATTGTTTGGGATATGAATACTGGTACCGATCTATTTACATTGATGGGTCATAATGCAAATATTTTAGGTGTTATATTAACACCGGATGCATCAAGAGCTTTATCATATTCTGAAGATAATACATTACAATTATGGGATATTCGTGATAATGGTGTTCGATTATCAATGTTGGATGTTCATCATAATATTTCTCATGTTTATTCATCATTAACCGTTACTTATCTGGCTGTATGGCTTGGACCAAGTTCACATATTTTACCTATTATTAAACATCATAATAATTCATCACAACATATCAATGTTGAATTACCTTCGGTTGGTACACCAGTATCATCATCATCATCAGCAGCAGCAGCTGAAGAAAAATCTTCGGCTTGGTTACGCGGTCTAATTGGACCATCATCACGATCGAATGTTTCAGTTTTAGCAGCTCGAACTTTAAAACGTGAACAATCATTTGATTCATTCTATTTTGAACATATGTTACATCGTGGACAAAGTGTTGATGATTTTCGAAAAATTGGTGCAGCAGGTATAGGCGGTGGTGGTATTGCATCAAGTTTAGCATCACCATTTGGATCACGTGAACAATTATGGACAGGACATCATCAGGATCTAGATTCAAATAAAACATTTGATCGTGTTGGTAGTGGTTCAACAACCAGATCAAGAATGATATCTAAATTGCGTAATATTGGACCAAAACATAAAATGTTGAAAAAGCAACAAAGTATGTTTGCATGTTTTCCTGAATTTACTGGCAAAACTGGTGTTTCTGGTTCCGGACAAGGATCTGTACAGGATTCTGGGTATGTTTGATTTTAGAATTTTTTTCACGAAAAAAAAAAAATTTTTTCATTAATTTTTGTTGGAAAAACAAACAAAAGTTTATCACAACAGGTTAATGGTGGTATTGGTAAAAAATTAATACCCGGTTCTAAGACGAAAATCTTTCCAATAATCGGTACTGATCGATCATCTACTACTACTACTACATCATCATCATCATCATCAACGATAGCGGCAACTACGACAACGACTACGACAAGAATAGGATTAGGATCAAGAACTGGTTCACAGGATAAAACCGATGATGATATGGATTCAATGTTGATGATGAAACCAAATCTTGGTACTGGTGGTAACGGTACATCAGCTGATATAATCAATATGGTAAAAGATTCCTCAATTTGTCGACTGATTTAAAACAATAAACAAACATTCACCATTGATATATGTGAAAAAATCACCCTAACCAACCTAACCAACCCAAAATGCCTTAGATTTCCACATTGATTTTCCAGAATAATGACGACTTATATAAGTTTGTATCGCACACACACACACACACATCTCACTCACTCACATTTGCTCCCACATACACAATTTTTCGATTACCTGAATTGTTTTTTGTCTGTATCATCACCATCATTTACATTTTCAAATATTTAAAAAGGTAAAACAAACAAACTTTTCCTCTGAAACAAAAATTAACTTAATTATCCCGACGATTCCCAAAGTCGACCGGTTTTTTCTCTTTTATGTGTGTGCTGTTTGTTTGTGTTATTATTATTATTTTTTCTGTTATCGATTAATTGATTGATTGATTGATTTTGAACAAAAAAAAATTTTATTTCAGTTGAAAATATTATTATGATTATAATAAAGAATAAAAACATGTCAAACTATTCAATCATTTTTTACAATGAGAATATTTACTTGCAAATATTATGGTTGTTATTAGAAAAATGATGGTTAATATGACAAAAACGCCCACCAATATTGATAGACGTTTTTCATTTTTAGTCATACGTTGAAAAAAATTTTCCGTCTGTAAATGTTGTACATAATTTGATGATGATGATGATGAATATTGTTGTTGTTGTTGTTGCTGCTGTTCGGTTCTTGTTGATGATTGCTGCTGTTGTTCCAATAAATTTGGTCCAAATCCTTGAAGATTTATCCTGGTGTTTGATGTTTGAATATATGAAAGCGTATCGGTTACTTGCATTGACATTGTTTTATTTTAGGATTTTGTTTAGTGGTAAACAAACGAATGTCTTGAATTACAATTTTTTAGTGACAATAATAATGAAATGATGAATGAAAGAAATAAAAAAAAACATCAAGACGTCATTTGACAACAAACGGGCATATGATTGATAAAAAAAAAAAAATGAGATGTGTATATATCAAAAAAAAGAGAGCAAAAGAGAAAGAAAAACATGATGATGATAATGATGATTAATTTCAATCAAAAAAAAAAAAAAAAAATGTGGTTACCATGCTTGGAAATATGGTGTTGTTGGCGATATCGAAATAGTTTTATGGATTTTTTTTAGTCTTTGATAATCCAGTTGTTTGGGTTGTCATGGAAATTTTTTTTTGTTTTGTTTTTTTTTCTGCTTCACCGTAATATTTCGGTAAATATTTTGATTACACACACACACACATTCATTGTTATTGTTTTTTTTTATCGGTTATAAACATTTGATTATTCAATCATCAGATTATTATTGCTGCTGGTGTTGTTGCTGCTGCTGGTTTTGTTGTTGTTGTTGTCGTTGTTTTTGATCAAATTTCATCAATAAAAACATAATCATAAACATTAATGTTGCTGTTATAATGCTTAAAAATGTAAAATAAACCAATATATAAGGTATATGATCAATCCAAATGCCAATAACAAATGGTGCTAGTACTTGTGCAACACCGCCTGAAAATGTGATTATAGAACCAATCCAATCGGTAACAGTGTAGCCACGTTGTTCTAATAATGGAAACAGGCTAGGCACAACGGAACTAAAACCGGCACCCAATAATATGTAACCAACAATGAGGCCAATGATTTTTGTGTCGGCTAAAAAATATACAAAAAGATTGCCAATTGTAATTGTAATGAAATCGATAATAATCATTTTGATTGGTGTTAATTTCAATGCAACAAATGCACTGACACCACGAAACGCTGTGAATGAAATGGCCAATGATGATGATACTAATGCCGATTGTGATTGTGTTAATTTAAGTTTAATTTTTGAACAAAATGATGCTGAAAATTGTAGATAAGTTGATTCAGAAAATGAATACATTGCTAAAAATAATGCGGCCAATGTAACGACAGAATAACGAAATAAACGTTCATTACGTTGTTGTTGTAATTGTTGTTGATCATCAGATTCTTGTTCATGCAACAAGTTTTGATTGGATTTTTGATTTTTTTTCGACAATGATTGATCATATGGTATGAGAATGAACATGATAAATATAGTTGCAGCTGATGATAATGCCAATATTGCCGATATTGTATATGGCCATACAAGATTATTGGCAACAAAACGATCATCAAAACCATTGAATGGATTTAATAAAAATGGTTCAGCAATCAATGGACCAAGTATGGTGCCAAAACCAAAGAAAAAATGTAATGCTTGCATTGTAACATTTGCCCATATTATTGTACGTGATTTTTTTATCATCATCATCATCGTTATTTCTTCTTTCACCATCATCATCATCAACATGATTATTCTGGCGATAAGATTTTCTTGATGACCATGACCACATTTCATTGATCCAAACATTGACCATAACAACAACAGCAGCGGTAAAAAATCCATTGAAAAATGCATTCACATAAAATTGTTTCAATTCAGTCCAATGTGGTACAAGAAATGTGGTCAATGCTTTAAGTATTAGAAATATGACCAATAATATTTGACGATTAAAATATGAATTCAAAAGTCCATCTAAATTATGACCAATTAGAATATCAAATAAATCGATTAATCATTGATAAATCAATTTGAAAAAAAAATCCAAAACAACAAAACACACTTACTGGTCAATGTGCCAACCACACAGCCAATTGCACGTAATGGAAATATAACCGAAACTGTTTGTAAATCCGTATGGAATACATGACTCAATTGTAATAATGTTGGATTAAATATGGATGCACACAATCCCTATAATAATAATAATAATATATATGAAGATGAATGTTTTAGATGTTTGTTTACGAATAAATTTACGAACAAAAAAAAAAAATAAAACGAAAAAAAAAATTTATAGTGTTATTATTCATCATCATCATTATTATTGCATATCGTGCATGAATGTCATATGTGTTTATATATGTTGATGATTGTATCACTGAAAAATATGGAAATTTGGTTTTGATCACTAAACACACACACACACACACATATCTGCCATTTTTTCTGCTTCTCATTGCCTGTAAAGAATTTCTAGAATTTGGAATTTTTATTCAAGTTTTTTTTGTTTGTTTGTTTGATTTTTCTCCACTTTTTTTTGTCATCAAAATATGTATATATGAATAATCAGCTCTTTTCAGGATTATCATTATCATAACAAATGGTGTTGACATTTTAGTATTTTTTTCGTTTTTCAATTTTTTTTCTGGTTCGAAAACTTTTCAAAGAAAAAAAAATGAAAAAAAAACTTTTGAAAAAAAACCAAAAAATGACTGGACCGCACGCCATTTTATGATATGATGGAATTAAAATTAACCGACACAGAATGAATGAATGAATGAATGAATGAGAAAAAATTATGACAAGCTTGATTTAATCGGATAACTACCACCACCACCACCACCACCACACACATTAATATATGGTCCATAAAACCTCGAAATTTTCATTTCATCTTGATAATGTTTGTATATTTTGAAAAAAATTCTTTTTTTTTGCCATCATCATTATCGTCTCTCTCTCTCTCTCTCTGTGTGTGTGTGTCTATGGTTTTTTTTCGTTTGTTTAGTTTTGCACTGCATGATTATTCATTACAATTTTCCATTTTTTCTATTTTTTTTTTTTTTAGTTTCAGATGTGCGTGTGATGCCATTATCATCATCATCATCATCCACATCTCTAGGGATGTTTGGCCCATTTATTCTGTTTTGGATATCAGAATTTTTTTTTTTTTGTTTAATGCCAGTTTATCAAGGTTATTTTTTTCTCTGTTTTTGTTGAAAGTCATTATTATCATTGCACACACACACACACACACACACCCATTCAAGTATGATTTTTGTATGATGAAAAAAATTTTTTTTTTCACCTTTTTTTTGCAGGCAATATGGACCCCATTGCATGTGTCATGAGAATTTCAACCGTAATACTTGATATTTGGATTCGGAAAACAAACAAAAACAGAAAAGGGGATTTGTTTTAAATTTTTTATGAAAACAAAAAACAAAAACTTTGAAAAAATTCGTAATGGAATTGAAATGAAAAATTTTTTGGCCAAAAGGCGAAAATAAAAACAAGAAGAAGAAGAAGAATTGGTATCTTTTTTCGAAAATAGTTCCAAAATTATTCAAAACTAGATAACTGGATGAAAACAAACAAACAAACAAATTGCAATTCACCAAGGATTTCCATTATAATCGGATGATGAATGCAATTAACGGCCCATCCAAAAAAAAATAACAATTTTTGCTTAATCATGCCATAATGATGATTGGTTTTAAATCATCAATCATCAGTTATTTTTTGGAACATTTCCTGGTGTTATTTGAAACTTTTTTTTTTTTTATTCTATTGAATTCTATGATGTGTATATGATATAATTGATTTAATTACGAGAAAAATATATATGAAAAAAAAAGAGTGAAAACAAGGTAGTGGAACAGAATAAAACAAAACAAAAAACTTACCACAGCAATAAATGAATAATATAATAGAACTGTATAGATAATTGACAATGTTTTTCGATCCATTTGTGCAAACAACCATGATGATGATGATGATTGATTGATTCTGCAATGATGATGATTGCTGTCGTCTATGGTGTTGTTGTTCATTGCTATTGGTGGTAACATTAAAATTACCATTGATAAGAAATTGTTGATCATTATAATAGATGTCATTATTAATCAAATCAGATGATGATCGTGTTTGTAATAATGGCATTTTGTTGGTCTGTGTTTGCGTTGTCTGTTTTGTTTATGTTTACGTTTCTCTAGTTTTTTTTTTGTTTTTTTTTTTTTTGGCAACCAATTCGTTTATATTTGTCAACCAGAATAAACAATGCGGAATAATCATTGGAATTTTTTTTGCAGTTTTTTCTCATTCATCAGAATCAATTGATGTGCAAAAAAAAATTCTGATTCTTTTCCCCTTTGTGAAAGATAACAAATGAAAAATCACCAAAAGAATCAAATCATCACGCACATACACACACACACACAGATTTCATTACATTTCACCATAAAACACCACCATTTTTTTCGGTTATAAAATTTTCAACGGTAAATTCTTTTTAGCGAATGTAACGAATCTAAATTCTTGATATTACGTTACACACACACACACATGGAATATTCAATTTTCTTGTTGTTGTTGTTGTTATGTTTCAATATTGAACGAACGAACAACAACAACAACAACAACAACGAAAAAAACTTGGTCGTGTTTACAAGGCGTCGTAGTTTTTTTTTACACTTTTTTTCTTCGTATATAATGATGAAATATGGAAATGAACGAAAGAAAAAAAAACTTTGGTGCGTGTGTGCGTGAGGTAATATTATTATTGTTTGTGTATAATGAGAATAAAAAAAACCACAACAGCAAAACGGAATTGAATCGTTTATTTATCTTTTTTTTTCTGCTGGAACAACTTTTTCGAATGTAAACTTTTCATCAAACTTTTTTTTTTTGGTGTTTGGTAAAAAGTTGTATATATAAATGGCGAATGTATTCAATTCACGGATACTAGAAAACAAAAATATCGATGAAATTTGAAACTTTTTTGGTTTTGTTAAATTTTACAATTTTCACTCTATATATATATATTTGGAATTTTTCAATCGATGAAATATTTTTCAACAGAAATTTTTGTCCTACTTTTTCGTACAAAGTAGACGATGATGATTACAAGAACAGGCTTTTTTTTGTACATCGAAACTTTTATTATAATTCAAAAAATTCGACTTTCCAAACACAAATGCACACAGTTGTTGTTTGATAAGATATTGATAATTGTTTGTCGATAATTTTTTTCTTTGATTAGATTTCAAACTATCAACTATTTGAATCAATCGATATTTATTTCTTGGGGCACATAATTTGGATTTTTTTCTTCTTTTTTCTTCATTCTTGATGATTTGTTGTTGTTGTTGTTGCTGTTGTTTCAAAGAATTTTCGTACATTCAGCATAGAGATGATAATGATGGGATTCTTTGTTTTCATGTATGCGTGTGTGTCTGTGTTAAGTGTTTTCATCATGAAAAGTCAAGAATCTTCATTTCATCGATGCAGACGATGATCACAATCAATCTATCTGTCTGTCTGTCTTTCTGTCGTACATGATTTTTTTTAAAAAGACAAGAAAAGAAAAAATCAAGTTTTTTTTCTGTGGAAATCAAAATCACTCGTTTCGTATACATACATTGAAGATGAACATGTGATCATTACATGTTTTTTAAAAAATCTGGTCTCTATTATCAAACGAAAACGATCATTCTTCATTTTTCATCAATTGATCATCATGATGATGATCAAACATTCAAACCAGAAAAAAATCTGGCATATAAAATGTGAAAATCAAGTTTTTCTCTCTCTCTATCTATCTGATCCTTTTTGTTTGTTTGTTTGTTTGTATCTGATAAGTTGTTCATGATAATCAAATCAAAAAAAAAAAAAAAACAAAACTATATATGCCTGTTTTGTTTTGTTTTGTATAAATAGTTGCCTATTTTTATTTGTATATATATACAAAGTGAACGCTAACCTTTTTGTTATGAATGTGCAAATCTCTTTTTATTTTCGTTATTATTATTATTAATATATATTGAATTTTTGTTCGATTCTTCACCAAAGAATAATGAAATAATGGCTGATGATGAAGAATGGGAGAGAGAGAGAATAAACACCAGTAAATATTTCTTCAGTCTATTCAAGCGGAAATTTTTTTTTTGTTTTTCCACTGCCGTATTCACGTTCAGTATTGCTCTCCGTGGAGACCTTGTTTGAGAATCTTTTTATTTTTTTTTTTTGTCTGTTTCCAATTTCAATTCTTATATATGTTGTGTGAGTGAGTGAGAAGAAGAAGAAGAAAAAAAAACAGCATGTTTCACGACGAAAAATGTTTGTATTTTGTTTTTTTTTGTCGATAACAAAAGTTTAAATTGAACTTAAAATGAAAAGAAAAAGAAGATTAATAGCATCGGTATTTGTTCAAACAACAACAACAACAACAGCGACAAGAAAAGATGTTTTAGTGAGGACAATTCAAATTCCATAATGATGATGATGTTGATGATGGTAGTAGTTGTTTTGGTCCAAAAAAAAGAAAAAAAAATTGGTTCCAAACATTCTATGGTTCAATTTTCAGATATATATCACCTATATAACAATGATGCCATTAGTATCATCATTGAGTCATAATCGATTTTTTTTCTCTTTACTCAACTAAAACGACGGCCAATGAATCATCAACGATGAATGGTCCCGAACCACACACACACACACACACAATGAAAATCACGGGAAATATAGAACAAAATTCAATAATATCACCCGAAGAACTTTGTAATATGAACATTTTTAATATAAAAAGACATTGTGTGTGTCTGTGGTACGAGGTTAATCTTTTCTTTTCTTTTTTTTTTTTTTTTTTCTTGCCATTGGCTGCACACACACCCGGACGCAGATTTATTAGTTTCGACTACACAGAAAAAAAAATTGCTTACCTTTTTTTCTCTGTGTGTGTGTCGGTCCATAGTTTTTTTTGGTTCACTGATTCATAATTCTCTCTTTATTTTTTTCATCGTCATTTTCTCTCCATGTATGCTGTTTGGAACAACCAAAAAAAAAAAAAAAAAATGACGTTTCATCATAAAATGAAATGAAATGAAATGAAAAAAAAGCAAATTCAATCAACATCAACATAATCAGTGTCATATACTTTATATTTAAGCATCTCATGTGTTGAAATAGCGAGCGAACGAACGAACGAGAGAGAGAGAGAGAAAAGAATAAAGCCTCTATTCTTATGATGATGGTGGTGGAAAAAAAAGGCAAACAGAATTTAAGAATTTCTACTTTTTTTTCTAGTTATTATGAAATAAGAATCTTATTTTCTCTTTCTCTCTTGAAAACTATTCTATATGCGAATGGTCCATTTTGAATTAGTATTCGAATATATAAGAATATTAAATTGAAAATAATATTCTTTCACATTCTTTCTCTTGTTCTGTTGCAAAGAATTCAATAATTCAAGAATTTATTCTGGCTTATTTTTGTCATATTCAACGATGATGATGATGATGATATGAACGAAGATGAAAAAAAAAATTCTGCAATTCAATTTTTAACTTTTACCAAGAATTGGGAAATCAAAAAAAAGAAGAATAAGAAAAATTCTGTTTCTTCTTTTTATTCCAGAAACAACAACAACAACAACAACAAAACAACAACAAATAAAAAAATGATATCTTTCGATTTCCCATATGAGCCATATTATGAATCATAAAAAAAAAATTCGTACCATAATGATGACCGGCAAAAATAATAACCGAAATGAAAATTTTACTGCACATCATTTCCAAAGCAATATACATGTATCTTATGTATTTATTTTGATTCGAAATTTCAAATGTCCAAAAATGGCCAATAATTGATTGTTTTTAATCATCATCAAAACCTTCAAATTTATCATCATCAAATAAATCATTTACAATCACTGAATTATTTGTTGCTGCTGTTGTCGATGGTAGTAGTTGATTATTATCATCGACAATATTTCTACCATCAACATCAACATCATCATCATCGAAACCAATATCAATATCAATATTATCATTATGATTTACATTTGATAAATCTGAAAAATCAATCATTGATGGTTGATGAATATTGTCCATTGACATGGCATGATTATTATTGTTATTGTGGTCGTTATCATCACCATTTGTATCGTGACGTGAAGATTTTTTGGCCATTTGTTCAAGAAATATTCTTATAGAATCAATATCATTTCGATACCATTGTTCCATAATTTGTACCTTTTCCAATGATAATTTCAACGTTTGTTTGATTGGATCAAATAATCGTGTATGATTTGCCATTAATTGTTCCAATGGTTGTAATTCTGATCGTATCGTAAATGTTTCGATTAGATCCTACCCAAAAAAAAAACATAAAAATCAAAAAAAAAAAATCCAATTTAGTCCAAAACAATAGGGAAACAAAATTGCTGCAATAAAAGATGAAAGATGGTGAAAAACTTTTCCAATTATTTTTTTTGGTTCTGTTTTCTTCACCGAAGAATACATACTCGAAAAAATTCATAAAGTTGATTCAGTGTTTGAAATTTGTTGGTAATAAAATCCAAATAATGATTGTCCATTATGATTGTTTCCAATACTTGTTGTCTACCAATATGAGAATGGCGTGCCAATTCAATCAACATCAATCGTGAATCATAATCATTGACATCATCATCATCATCATCATCATTGGACGACTTTAGGGCAAATTGAATTACTTGACGAATTTCTTCAAATCGATTGGTCGAACCTAATGCAATTGATAATAAATGTTTAGCTTCAGGCTGTTTAGTTTCATTATCATATTCATTGTAATGCTTGTTGTTGTTGTTATTATTATTATTATTGTTCCATTCAAGTGTGTTTATGACAGACATGAATTTGTGATTGTACAAAATTCCGGGAAAAAAGAGAAAAAAAATAAAATTATCATTAATTTTGATTGCACTAAAAAAAAAAAAAATATGCTGGCGGTTCTGGAAATTCTGGAACCAAATTCAGCTATTGATTATTAGCATGCAATCATCATCATCATCATCATTAGTAATTACCTTGAATAAGTCTTCAAATTGTAATTTTGATGTCATTGTTTTTGCTGCTCTAGCGCCATCGATCGATAACCGAAATGAATTGAATGAACGAAATACGCATTCAAGTATTTCCAATGGTAAATCTGATCTGATTTTATTTTCCATATAAGATTCATATTTAATTCTTGCTTCATGGTGAAAGTTTTCATAACCAAATTGTCCCATTGCACATAATATTCGTGTACGTAATTGATTTCGTGCAAATTGATTGATTTTCATTCGATATCCAACTGGTCTTTGATTGACCGATGAATACCAATTATTATTATAACGATGATACATACGTTTCAATAAACGTTGAGCATAATATTCAAAATTTGATTGTATCGATTGTCTATAATGATCGGATTCGATATTTGAAATAATTAAATGTAAATCGGTCAACATTGTGATGATTACTGACCAAATATTTGGATTATCTTCATTTTCGAATGATTGTAATAATTTCAAACCAGTTACAGTGGATGTATAACCAGCACGAATCATAGCAAATACATCATCAATCAAATTCAAACGATCTAATGGTGGCAATAGTTTCTCTTCAATCGGCACAATAAAACGATTGAGCATTTCATCGGAATAATGTATACGATAAAAATTACTGAATACCGGATTCAATTTGATCCATTCACCTGACCAAATGCCCGGTATACGTAATTCAACACGTTCATTTTCGATTAAAGCCTGATTTGTCGGTGTAAACGGATTAAATGATTTAACAATACTAATCGGTATTGGCCATAATGATTTTTGCTGCCAAACAACTTTTGTTGTTGACAAATTTTGACGAAGCTCAACAAATCTCTCCTGATGGATGAGTAATATTCTTGTGTTGCCATTTTGTCGTTGTTCATCAACATGCAACACAGGAAAACCAGCCATTTCAGTCCAATTGGAAAATATTCGAACAATTTGTTTTTGAAATTGTCGATATTGGTGATATTTTTTCTCATCTTTTTGATCAATTCCATCGATAGCCATCAAGAAACATTCTGGTAAATCTTTTAGGCTACCGGTTTTTGTCCAATATTTATTTATAAATTTTTGTAACGCCAACCTAAATATATCATGATCCAGATTTTGTTTCAACATTCGTAACAGGAATGTTGTTTTACGATAAATATTGACACCTTGTGGATACATCATTGATACTTCGATTGGATTACGGATACTGTTTTGAATAGATTCAGCATTCAAACTTGAATCCAATCGTAATGCTAAACTCATTTCATCAGCTGTATATTGTTGCCATGAACGCCATTGTGGAAATACATCATCCATAGCTTGTTTTTCCATAAATTGATTCAATCCTTCGAATAGCCAAAATTCAGACCAATCATCGAATGTAACCATATTGCCTAACCATTGATGTGATATGGAATGAGCAAGCATGGAAACAACTGTTTGAAGATCACGTTCGCCAATCAAAGTCAAATTTTTGATCGATAAATCTTGATGAGTAAAATAGATTAATCCAAATTTTTCCATCGATGTTTGTTGGCCTTGATTTGATTCCAACGTGATTAGATCCAATTTATCTGATGGATATTTATGGCCATAATAATATTGAAAATATTCTAAAAGATGTTCCGTAGATTCAAGAGCAAATTGCCATTGATTGGAATCATTTGAATCCGTTGCCGTAGTGATTAATCGAACACGAACTTTGGTATGATTTTTTTCACTGTTTGTTATTTCAAATTTCGGTGCCATCATTATGGTCATCTGATATGTAGATATTAATGGCGTAGTATTGAAATGAATTTCATCCAAATAATGTGAATATGAACGTCGACGATCAATGTTCATGTTCGATATGGCCATTGTGTTTTTCGGTATGATTAGATATAGATCAAATGTTGCTTTGTATCGTGGTTCATCCCAACATGGTATCATATGGCGTGCATCAATTGGTCCAAAATCGATCCAAGAAATTTGTTGATATTCACGATATGATTGACGAATGATTTGTTCTCGTATTAGATTGGTCAAATTACCGGAATAATTTATCGTAATATTAGCACCACCACGATGTAATTGTTTAGGAAAATGTAAAACAATCGTTTCAGTTGTTGGACAATAATAAATCATGTTCGTATTGACTAAATTCAGTATAAAATGAAGAAAAAAAATTTTAAATCATGCGTTTTTTTGGATGTTCAATTAAACTTACTTTGAATTGAACCGGTACTGAATGTGGCTTTTAAAATTTTCAAACCACGGCCATTCATTTCAATTTGATTGGTTTTATTATGAATCCGTATCTGAATGGTTAGATGACCGAATAATTTTTTCTGTTCAAAATCAAAACGTAATCGTAATCGATAACGTTTTGGTGTTACAATTTCATTTAAACGATGATAATAATATGATGGCCTAACGACACCATTCAATGTTGTTTGATTGGATAATTTTTTCACTATGCCACAATATACACGATCCGGTATTGTGGTCCATGGTTTTGAAATGGCCGTATTATTACGAATAGAATTATGTCGTTTTTGTCGTCGTCGTCGTCGTTGATGATTGTTTCCGGAACTAGATGTGATTCCAGGAAATTGATTATGGTGATGATCAAGATTATTACAATTTTCATTTATTTGATTTGATTGAATTCGATTATCATCATCATCATCATCATTATTTTACTGCCATTCAAATGTAAAATTGTTTCGTTTTTTGATAATGATGTTGAAACAGATGGAAAATTGCCAATATTAACCAATGTAGTATGAAACTGTTGCCAAAAATCAGCTGTTGTATGTTTATTTAGTCGACAATCATTGTATTTTATTGATGATGGTGATAATAATAACCAAAACGATAAATGGATGATGGATTTTGTCAACAAATAATAATGACAGAAGGAGAATTGACATTTAGATTGAATCATTCTTGTCATCAAATAACACAGTGAATAGCATAAATCAAGAATTCAATCTATTCAATTCTTTGATATGAAATTAAATTGAATAAAAAATGAAATGAAATGAAATGATCATCATCCGACGATCAAAATGATCTTATTGATCTGTATTGGTATTGATACTGGTGTGGAGAATGAAGAAGAAAGGAAAAAAACTTGAAATTTATGTGGATTTTCAACTTTTTTTTTTCCGTTTTTCGTTTCTTGGCTGCAACATTTTACCGAATCCATTATTATATGAGTGATTACCAATGAAATTCTGAAATTAATTTATTCACCAACATTCTTGATTGGTTTTTCGTAACCATAATATTTCACACTTGATAGACAAGTTTTTTTTCTACTTGGTTTTTTTTTGATCAAATCAAAATCAATTCTCTACGAAACAAAGGGTTAAAGCATCATCATTATCCATTAGGTCAGTGCACTTTTTTTTGTTTGTTGAATGGCCAAACAACCAAAAAAAAAAAAAATTCGTGATTTACAAATAATGATTGTGTAATTGTCTTGTTTTTTTTCATTCATTTTGCTCATGTTTTATTCAAAAAAAAAAAAATTTTTTTTTTGTTTTGTTTTGTTTCAGGTTCATTTTTCTTCAATTTCTTTTACAAATCGATTTTCTAATCACAATCCAATCAATCGATAGATAACCATTCTGGATGATGATGATGATGATCAAAGTTCGGTAAGGTAGGTGGTATTCACCATAAAAATGATCGATTGTGTAAATAAATTCTATATATATAAATAGACAGTGAAGTAAAGTGAAAAAAAAAGTTTTGAATGAAAAAAAAATTGGCCGTGGTTATATCAATAAATCGATTTTTTTTGTTGTTGTTGTTGTTGCTGCCTGTAATCGATGGTTAACTATTCATGGAATTTAATCACAATTTTTTTTCTCGCTCTCCTGACATCATCATAATCATCAAACAAACAAACAATCGATATGAAAACTTTGGAAAAGTTGGAAAACTTAAATTCCGTACACTATTTCGATCCAATTAGTTTTTTTCTTCTTCTTATTTTGTTTTTTTTCCCAGTATATAACTTTTTATTGCTAAATTTCAAAGAAAAAAAAAGTTTTCTCATTGACAGAATCATTTGTTCTATAGAATAATGATGATGATTGTCAATAATAATAATGATATGGCAATAGTGGACAATGATAACGGTGATGATGGTCATTATAATTGTCATTTTTTTTATTTATCTATAAATAAATAAATAATCGTTGATGTTTATCATTATTGAAAACATCAATTTCAACAATGATGAAAAGAATTCTTGTGTAGAAAGAAAGAAAACAAATTCCTTTATATTTCATCAGAATTCTATGATGATGATGGATCCCCCCATTCCAAAAAAAAAAAAAAAAAAAAAATAGTTGAGTAAAGTTGTTGTTTGGTTGTTTTCGTTTGTTTTTTTTTTTTGTTCGTTTGATATTCTCATCATCATCATTTCCTTTAATTCATTTTCAAGTCATTATTTTTCTTTTTCTTTTAATTTCTTTCTTTTTTTTATTCACTTGAATGAATTTTCTTTCGAGTTGATAACGATTTATTTTTTTTTTCATTTTCTCCATCCGCCAGTACAAACAACATAAAGGTAAATGATGAGTATGTGATGAAACTTCCGGAAATACTGTTGTTGTTGTTGTTTGATATGTTGTCCGTTATCAACATCCTGTTCTATATGAATGAATAAATCGAGTGAAGAAACATTTTGTTGTTGTTGTTGTTGTTATTTGTTTTTTTCCACTTCAACTACAAATCATCATCATCATCATTTTTTTTTTTCGTTGTTGGCGTGTGCGTGTCTGTGTGTATATTCAAAATGAGAATTCTACAAACTTTTTTTTGCCCATTTCTCTCTCTCACACTCACACACGCACAGAATTTTTTTTTCTCCACCATTCCTTGTTGTTTATCGACAATGTTTTCACTCTTTTTTTTTTTGAATACAAACAAACAAACAAACAAACGAACAAAAAAAATTTGCCAATCAATAATATTGAATTGGATTGAATGAAATGAAAATGGCAATGTTTGTTGCACCATACCAGAATGGAATGAGAGAAAACAAAAACACATTAAATTCATTGTATATGATCCATTTTCATGTAAATGTCATTGTTCTGTAAAAAAAAGGCAAAGGCAAGAATTTCATTTCTTCAATTTATTTATTGATTTTTTGTTTTTTGTTTTTTTTTTCTAGCAGCAGTTTTAATATTCATAATGTGACAAAAAAATTTTTTTTGATTTCTTGTGTTCCATTGTAATAAATCTGTATAAACTTCAAGGTAAATAAACCAATCAGATGAAGAATTGTCAATCTAGAATCAACGACGATGACGATGACGACGACAAAATTTTTTCGTTGGCCATAAAACTTTACCATTTATTCTAGTTGTGCAACAAAATCATTCGTGAATGATGATCCAAAAAAAAAAATTTGAATTTTCTTTTTTATGTCTCACAAAATGTTTTCAATGTTTTCGATGAAAACTTTTTACATTTTCTTTTTTCGTATTTCTCTCTCTCTGTGTGTGTGTGTGTGTGCAATTTTTGCCCAAAATGACAAGAAAAAAAAACAAAATGAAAAGCAAAAAAAAAATTTGCATAAATGAAGATGTCACACACACACACACACATTTGTGTTTTTAAGAATTTTTTTCAAGAATCTCTCTTTCTTTCTCTCTACAAATGAACAAGTTTTTGTGAATTCATCAAAAAAAAAAAATTTTTTTCGATTCACAAACACACAGAATCGATTCAAAAGAAAATGAAAAGAATTTTTTTTCGCTTAATTAAATTGAATTGAACATACACACACACAGAGAGAGAGAGAGAGAGAGACGCACTGGAAAAAATTTTCTGGATTTAATTCAATTTTTTGTCTTGTGTTGCTAGGTAAAAATAAAAGAAAAGGAAATTTATTACTTTTGCAGTCTCTCTCTCTCTCTCTCTCTCTCTCTCTCTCTCTCTCTCTCTCTCTCTCTCTCTCTCTCTCTCTCTCTCTCTCTCTCTCTCTCTCTCTCTCTCTCTCTCTCTCTCTCTCTCTCTCTCTCTCTCTCTCTCTCTCTCTCTCTCTCTCTCTCTCTCTCTCTCTCTCTCTCTCTCTCTCTCTCTCTCTCTCTCTCTCTCTCTCTCTCTCTCTCTCTCTCTCTCTCTCTCTCTCTCTCTCTCTCTGAATGTTGCACAGAAAAAAAGGTAATTTAAGGTTAATTTTTCTCTCTTTGTGTGTCAGCACAACGATTTTTTCTTTTTCTTTTTTTTCACAGAGTACATTTTTTCGAATGTATGTCAGCATTTTTTTGGCACTCTACGCCAGAATTATATTATTATTATTTGACTGTTGAATATTATTGTTATTGTGTTATCAACAAAACAGGAATTTACAGGAATGACAATAGAGGAAAAAAATAGACACACGCACACACCTTTCACACAGACAAACACACGCACACACGACAAACATCCACAATTCCATTAAGAATATTAACATTTTTTTTTTGATATTTCGCCAACATTGGTATTTTTTTGGTACATTTTTTTCTTACATTCTCTTGTTCTACACATTTTTACAATAACCAACAACAACAACAACAACAACATCGACAACCAAAAATTTTTTGGTCTAGAGTCTAGACAAACATACGTGCACATCACTGAACAATCAATGTGCACCTGAATTGTAAAATTCTAGAATTCCTTGTTTTTTCGTTTTTTTTTTTTTTTTTTTGATTGGTCAATATTAATATTTTGCGTGTGTAGTAGGTGTGTGTGTGTGTGGGTGGAAAAGGCGAGTGCTTTGTTTTCAATAAAATTTTTCATTCATTTTGGTGAAAAGTGATTAATACCATTTTTCATTTAGGAAAAAAGAACGACAGAGAGAGAGAGAGATAGTTAATAAATGGCTTCTTGAAAGGTAGTAGCAGTAGTTGTAGTAGTTTGCAACCAAACAAACAATACAGAGAATATTCTCTGTTGTATTTACTGATGTGTCTGTGTGTTGTGATGCGTGGGTGTTTGTGTGTAATGTCTGCGTGTGTGAACAGAATTCTCTCGTTTCTTATTCTTTATTTTCTGGTTTATTTTCTTGTTTGTTTGTTTGTCTGTTTGAATTGATTTTGACCCAAATTTCTGGTTCGTTAGATAAATAATTTCACTTTTATCCATAGATCCATTTCGGATCGGTTTGGTGATTCAATTCTCAATATATAAATGAATCTAATTGAATTAATTTGATTCGAAGAACAAGAGAGATAGAGAGAGTGAGAGGGAGAGAGAAATAGAAAAGAAGAAGAGAATCATTATGATGATTGAGAACACAGAGGTATCTAAGAACCACCAAGAAAAATGAAAATTTCTCGATTTAAACCAATTGTATGATCACTGATCAGTGAACAAAATAAATGATGATTGGTAGAAAACGACTATCGAGTAGAAGGAAGTAAGGAAAAAATCCATTGCATAAATTGATTGCCAAAAAAAAATTTCGTTTGTTGACCAACTTTTGTTTGAGTTTTTTTTTCGCATTTTTTTTATTCGACAATGACACCGTCAGCTGTTGTCAGAGTGGAAAATAAAAATGAAAAACAAAATTAAACATGTGAATGAAGATGATGATTCCATTTCAAATATATATATATACGTCTTGAATAATTAAATTTTCAAAATTCAGTTCATCGGATACTGTTGAGACAATCTAACCATGATAAAATGAATTGAATTAAATTTACTTGACGTATATGAATGTGGTAGAACATCATCATGCAGATTGTCATCATCATCATCATCATCTTATGATGTGAAGAATTCCGTTTCTGTTTTTTCTGTTTTTTTTCTGAATTTGATCGTAGAAAATAAAATAAGAAGATAAAATGGTGAACGTCATTTTTGAATCGCCATTTTTATTATTATTATTATTCATCATTTTGACAATTTTCCATTCATTGAAATTTACATATCAATAATAATAAATCTTTGCGTGTGTGTGTGTGTGTGTGTGTGAAAAACTTTCTTCTTTTTTTCTTCACACACACACACACAGATAAATCTCGCATTATATGAGAAAAAATATGGTGTTTTTTTTTCTTTTCTCATTTGAATGAAATGAAATGGATGGATGGATAGTATTTTGTTGTAGTGCCCTTTTTTTTCCAAACCCCCACTACCACCATCACCACCATCCACAAATTGGTTTGTCATTTGAGAGAGAGAGAGAAAAAAAAATTTTTTTTCTTCTTGATTATCGATATTGATTCGTGGTGGGCGTAGATTGTTATATGAAAATTTTTTTTTATGAAATTAGATATCATAAACAACGACAAAGATGTTTTGTCAATGTTTTCGGATAATACACATCACAAACACACACACACACACACACACACATACACGTGAGTGGTAATTCAAGTATGTCATCCGTAAACAACAACAACAACAACAACAACAAAAAACGACAACAACAACAACAAAAAACGACAACAACAACAACAAAAATTATAGATTTTTCATGTATTGCATGTGAAACATTTTAAGAACAAACCAAAAAAAAAAAAAAAAAATAGAGATAGAGGAAAAAAACCCAGCAGCCACAAAAAAAAATAATGTCAACAACAACAACCAACAAAAATGAAAAAAAACACACACACAAAATAAAATAATCCACATATTGGATGTGCATGTAAAACTAGATCATCATCATCATCATCGAACCTAAATAAACAATCTATATCCACTGTATTCTCTTTGTATTCTATGTATTCTGTGTGTGTGTGTGCATGTTAATGGTGCTTATGAATTTTTTTTTGTCCCAGAATTTATTTGAAATGATAATAACCATATCCATTGATGATGGAAAATGAAGGCAAAAAAAAATTGAATTTGTCACCACACACACACAATGAATGAATGAATGAATGGTGGTGTTAGTAGGTTTTTTTATGATAAGAAGAAAGAAAAATCTGGCATTTGCATACAGATATGCAATTTTTTTTTTTTTTTTTTATGATAAGAAGAAAGAAAACGCATCATGTCATTATGAATGGCCCAAGACGAACTTTTTTTGGAGGACGAAAGAAAAACAGGAAAAAAAACCCGTGGGAGGCAGTATGTTTACTACCTGGATTCTTTTTTTTCCTTCTACAGTTTCAACTTTCTATATTGACCAGAAAAAAAGATGCTACAAGCAATTTCATCATTATCATTTTCATTCATATACAAATGGAATTTGGTTGATTTTGGTTTTTTCCTTTTTTTTTTTTTTAATCAAAATGAATTTTTTTTTTTTTGGCTTCTGTGTCTTTTACACATGTCAAATTGTATTGAATGTTGAACGAGTTGAAAAAAAATTAGAATTTTTTTTTACATTTCATATTTCATAGAAACACAAAAATGCACCTGTGCCACCAGAATCCGAAATTTTGGTTTTTATTCTTGTTCTGTGTTCTGTACGACTGACGACTGATCTAAATAGAATGTTGGCCTCTAGTTTTTTTTTCAATTTCAAAGTTTGATGGCCATGGTTAGATGATGAGAAAAAGCAGATGAGAAAATTCTGGAGAACCAAGAAAAAAAATGACAAGTATCGTAATTTTATCACTCAAACAATGAAATTAAATTGAAATAAAAATATACTAATATCCTCAAATAGAAAGTCCAGCGGTTAATAACTATGCACCAAAAAATAGAATATTACCATGAATAGAATATTTACAGAATATTTTTTTTTGCGTGTGCCATAACACAGAAAGAAATTTTCCAGAGAGAATTTTCTCCATTTTCTTTCTAATATTTACATTTAAAAGAATATTCTGGAAAACCATTATGCATGAATGAATATGTAATCATTTCTTGTTAATGAAAAACATTTATTATATAGTGTTGCATGCATATATGGGAAAAACGATTTTTTTCCACCATTTTTTTTTTTTTGATGATATTCTATAAGAATCAGTTATTACATCAATGATCAAAATGATGATGGGATTTTTTTTTCTGACTGAATACAGCACACTGAATACATTTGTTTGTTTGTTTGTCTGAATAATATGGCTTCAGTGATCAATTTCATTATTTGGATAAGTTATTTTTTTTTTCTTAAACAAATATTCTTGAGGCAATAGTTTTCACCATGGTTCTTTATAATTTCTGTATGTATAATTTAATTCTATGAACAACAGAATATCCCAGATTTCAGGTGTATTCTTTCATAAAAAAAGAAAAATTTCATATATTCTATTAACCAAAACGTAACAAAAACTGGCCATTTTGAAAACTTTGGCATTAATTTTAGCCGACAAACAAAACAAAACAAAACAAAACAGACAAAAGAACATTTCAAAACTGAAAAAAAAATTTCTGGAACAACAAAAAACAAAATTCTCCAGGAACATTAAGTGTGTGTGTGTCTGTGTGTGTAAGTCTGTGTTTGTTATTCATTGAGATTGACACCATTATATTATTATTTGTTTGTTGTTTATTGAAGATGATCACACACAAGTCACAAACATTTGTTTTGATAATACAGAAAAAAAAGTGAGAGCGACAGTGAGAGAGAGAGAGAGAGAGAGAAATTCTTTCAAATTCTTTTATCTTCTTCTGTTCTGTTCTGTTTTGTTTTTTTTCTTCTTCATTTTGTTTCAATCTTTATAATGGATTTTTTACCATCTTCAAAATAAAAAAAAAAAAAATCATCAATTCACTTCAGTGTTCATCATCATCATCATCATCATGATGATCATATACAATACAAGCTATGCTATTATCGTATATCTCCGCCCACTTACACTCCCACCACCTTTGACAGTAGTACACTTTTTGTTTCTCATCATATCAACGCCCACATTGTTTTTTTTTATATATACATTCATCTTACAGATTTTTTTTGAACGAATTCATGTAGTGAAGACCACATTTCTATTTTTTTTTTCACATAGTCCAAATGTATGATTATCTCTCTCTCTCTCACACACACACACACAGAATATAATGTGTATGGACAATATGTGGCAACGATAATAATCATGTCCACCAAAAAAAAAAAAAAAAAAAAAATAGCCGTAACTCGAGAATAATAAAAAAAATACCGTGATGGCAGCGGTGAATCATCATCATCATCATCATCAACATTGTGTTGGAAATGGGACCATATAAATGTGAATATGACAAAGAAAATGATTCGTTCGTAATTCTTTTTTGTTGTTGTTGTTATCGTTGTTGTCGGACGAATTAAATTCTCAAAGGACATTCTTTTTTTTACTCGGCGCTCTTTATTTATTTATTTGTTTATTTCTAGTTTTTGACTCTCTCTTTCTCTTCATCTCGTTTGGTAATCTTCACATCATCAGGATCATTTTGTTTTTTGTTTTTCATTCAGATCCAAATTATTTGTGTAAATGATAATGATTATGATGATGATGATAATGATGAAAAAAGTGTGAAACAACAGAATCTTAATCTTTTGAAACTTTATGGCTTCATCATCATCATCATCATCATAATGATCATTACAAATGAATAAAATGGTGAAAAAAAAGAATTCGCTAAAAAAAGTGGAAAAATACAAAAAAAGCGAATTGAATTTTTTGAGCCAATATTTTTTCCATCCAAATCATCAATGATTCACACAATTTAGGTAAATATTCCATTACTGCTTTGTACACCGGTATTCTACTTGTGTTTAAAGTTTTTGTGGATTTTTTTCTAAAAAAAAAAAAATTTTTCTGTCTAACATTCACTTTGGTAGGTTGGAATATTCCTAAGAATGATGATTCCAATGCTAATGATGATGTGGATTCTATTTTTATTCTTTACATAATATATACTGGTCTCTAAGAGAAAATAAAATGAGATGATAGACGACGACAACGGATTCAACGGTATTGAATAAATAATTCACTACATTGAAAAAAGATATCTTTACCAGAGAAATGGAATCATTGAAATGGAAAAGAAAAATTTTCCACGAATTATCATTGAATTAGTCATTAGGTATTAGACACACACACACACACACAGTAATAGAATATTCAACGGTATAAAAAATTTTAATAACACTGGAATAGTGAAAAAAAAAATGAATGAATGAATGTGAATGGCCAACATTTCGGAAAACTTTTTCAAATGAAAAACAAACACACACACACACACACACACACACACAGAAAAAGAATTTTGCTTCATTAATATAAATTAATCTGATTTTTTTTCCATTTGGAACAAATGAAACAATGTTGTGCTTTCGAACAATATATTCGTGTTTTGTTTTTTGTTTTGTTGAAATTTCATATAAATTCAGCCAAATTTGGCCGTTTGAAAGTTTATTATATTTGTGAATTTTTTTGTTTTGTTTTGAAAAGATTTTTTTTCCTCCCTCTACTCAGTGTTAAATTTGTATTTTTTTTCCTCTCGGTTGTAAATTTTTATAAATAACAAGCAAGCAAGCAATGGCATCAATGTTTGGCGATATTCTACGTATGGCTAGTGATTTGATCAAATCGTTTGTATTGGAATCGATGGTGCCAATGATCGTGGCCGCACCGCCAACATCACCAATGTTGGCCAAACAATTACAGAATATAATTGAAAAAGAATGGATCACAATCATAACGTTTGTAATGATGTTACCATTACAAATTATCTACTTTCTTTGGTTTCTATCCGGTGGTCCATTGATGAATTTTTCATTTCTTACCAGATATTTTACCTATATCCAGGTGGCAATATTTATCATTGTAATGGCATTATTTCGTACAATTCTAGTGATAACATTGACTGAAAATCATTCCGGTACTAATGATTTGAACCCAAATCGAATAAAATCAAAATTTCGTTGTACACCATCGGATATGCATACTACTACTGCTAGTAGTAGTACTACTACCACCATAATCAATGAAAGTGCAGCAAGATTTACACCGAAAAAAGAAAATTCAAAGACGAAAAAATTTTAATTTTTTTATAATTAATTTAAATTAATTTGAATGTGAAAGCAAAAAAAAAATTAAAATTAAAAATTAAATGAATTTAAATTTTAAAATTCGATTCACATTTTTTTCTCTCACTCTTTTTTGTTCATTTTCTGCAAGATTGGTGTAAGAAAAAGGTTATGGATTCCTAAATTCAGACGAACAAAAAAAAATGGTGACAAAAATTGGATCAAGAAAAAGTAAACAACAACAACAACAACAACAAAACATTAACTTGACAACAACAACAACAGAAGGTAAATATGAGAAAAAAAATTGATCCATAAATTTTCATTTGACAGAAAAAAAAACATTTTGGACACTATTGGTCCACACACACACACACACACATTGACTAATTGACTTGATCTTTGTTTTTTTTTTTGTAACAAAAAGTTCAAAAGTTTTTATTATTATTCCATTTGATTCACACTTGTGAATCGGATTTTTGTTTCGTTTGTTTGTTTGTTTGTTTGCTGAAAGCACATGGAATAATAATAAATAATAATAATGTCAACAGAAAGAATTTTTTTTTTTTTTTTTGTTTTTGGAAATTCTGAAGGTGACAACTTGTATTAGTTACTGAGTGAGAGAAAAAGATGGAAAAAGAAAAAAAGTGAAACCCTCACACACACACACACACACATGGAGACCATACTATTAACCGTATAATGTTGTGTATATTGAGAGAAATGAAACAGAAAAAAAAGAAAGTTTTTCCATATCGACCAAAAAAAAATGAGCCAAAAACTTTGTCTAAACTCTAGAAACATTTTTTTTCTCTCTCTCTCTTTTTGTGTCTTCCAAAGGAAATATAATCCTCTTCATTTCCTTTCATTTTGCTTTCATTCTAAATCATGTTTCATGTGATGATGATGATGATGATGAAACAAATGAAAATCAATTTCATTTCATATACCAGAGAAAATGTTGACAACAGCGGCGCCCACTTTGCAACTGTGTTGAAGAATTTGTATTTGTAATAAATTCTGTATATTTCGGGGAAAAAAAATTTAAAACAACGAAAAACAACATCACAATAGTTGTAATTTTTTTTTTTGGGAATCATTTATTTTCATTGATTATTTTTTTTTTCTACATTAGACATAATTCAATAATGAATGTAATGTGATGGTTGTCGTTGTTGTTGGAATTTGGATATTAATTTTGGATATACAAGTAAAATGATGCCAATGATGATGGTGATGATAATTTTCAATTATGCAATAATAATAATTCATAATTATCGGATGGAAAAAAATTTCTTTTTTTTTTGTCTGCCTTGACAAAATTTCGATAGCAGCAACAAAAAATTTTTTTTTTTTTGTTTTGTTGAACCATATATAGAGATTATATATGGTATGATGGTTACCAATGGTAATCGATAATTTTCGTTTCTAGATAACCAGGTAACACCGATGTAAATCATTTAATTGTATCGTTGATGATGATGATGATGACAGCCGATTTTTTTTTCATTTATATTTTTACCATACCGACACTCATAAATCTTTAATGGTTGTAATTTTGCTGATGCTTTATCTAATCATCATCATGATGATGATTTTTGATCAAAATATTGTGGTCGTAATGGATAATGGTAGTGGGAGTTTTGTTTCACCTGCTCGGAATTTTTTGTTTTTTTCTTTCACTGAATTTTAAAATTCAGAATTTTTTGGTTTCAAATAATGGATAATAATCATCGACAAAATATGCTCAAACAGCAGCCACAACAACAACAACAACAACAACAATCATTATCCGTTAATCATTTGATTAATAAAATTTGCTGTTCAATAATAAATCGTTTACAAAAATCATTACATTGTGTATCATCATCGATACAGGAACTGCATCAATTATCCGATGGTCATGTATTATCGGAATTGATTGAATTATTTGAAGATATTGTCATTATTCGTGCTTCGAATCATCACGAATGTTTATATGGAAATGAATCACAAAAACAACAACAACAACAACAACGTTCGAAACCATTGCAAAGACAAAAAAATCAGAATAATATTGATTATGTTGAACAATGGCTACAGATTGAAGGCATACGCATCGATGCTAAACGTTCGATACGAGAATTGTTTGCCGAAATGGAACGTGGCCAACGTGAATTGAATGGTTTTTTCCAGTATTATAATCAAATGTCACATGATTCGTCAACATCGACATCGACATCGGAATTTGAATTATTGATCAGAAATCAGCAGAACACAATTTATGAAAGATCAATAGCATATATAGCCACACTTTGTTATGCAATAATAACAATATTCATCAGATATGATCACATATTTCGTACATTTATTGCTGATTATAATTTCAAAGTTTATGATGATGAATTGTTGCATATTTTATTCTATACAAAATGGAAATTAACTGAAGAAGAATTGTTATTGAAAGATTTGGAATATATGCATCTAAAAGATCATTGTGATTTATTGGAATTGCAGCTAAGACAAATGAAAATCCAGCAACAACAACAACAACAACAGCAGCAGCAGCAGCAGCTGAGAATAATGTCTGAAATTCCGGAAACAATAAATCAAAATGAAAACATGAAAATGATGAGTTCTGCAGAAATAAGGGGCGATAATTCGAATCAAAGTTCATTATTGACAATATCATCATTGAATGAATTAGATTTGGTTGATTCATCAACAATGACCACAATTTATGGTCATTTGGATCGATCAATAAAAATTGATTTCAATGAAAATTTAAATCACAATGATGATGCAGAACAAATGAAAAAAATTTCAATAAATTCAAATCAAAAACCACAACAGCATCAACGACAAACTGATCATCGAAATTCATTGCCGTCTGGTTCATTGTGGAATAATGTTGAAACAGAAAGAAATTTTGATTTTCAACAAAATTCTTATGTTCGACCATTTTCGATTATTGATAGAAATTCATTCGATTTTGATACGAGTAAAATCAATGTTGATCGTGCATTAAAATATGGTCAAAATCATCTGAATCAATCGATATCAATGAAATCTGATGATTGCGGTGGTGGTGGTGGTTGTTTGTTTGAAAACAAACAAAAACCATAACAATAATGGCTTGTCATCAATGCAAATTGATGGAAACCAGATCCTCAATGAACAACCAAAACTGAATGATAAAAGCAATATAAATCGAGTTATTACTGAACCAATCAATATGGATATGAATGAAACTGATCTAGTTAAATATTTGGCTAAAATTCCAAGTGCCGATCCAAATTGTCCATCAATAGCTAAAACAATCAAATATGACTATGATGATGTTGATAATAATGGACCGATATCCAATAACGACGACATCAACAACAACAACAACAAATCAAACAAAAAAAATCCATCAATCAATACACGATTACGATACATACAGAACATTGGTGATGAAGATGAACGGAACAGAATATTGATTGCACGATTATTGGCTGAATTATCGTATGAAAAAAATAAGAATAAAATGGCCTTGAAATCCACTATGGATACTGTAGATGATGATGATGATGATGATGATCAAAACAACAACAATCAATGGTTTACGGAATAAGAATTTAATCGAAACAAATGTTGAATACATTTGAATTATTTATATTGTGAAAAAAATGATTATTGATTAAATTATTTATTCTGTTAAATAATATTCTTCTGTGTTTTGTGATAAACAGACAATCAATATATATGCACATATAATCCTTTTTTAAAGAATCGTGACTATGAGAATAAAAAAAAACGAAGTATAATCATCATTATAAATAATCAATAGAATGAATGGCCAGAATTTTCAATGTTAAAAGTTCTTCGACATGAAAATGGATAAATTCTTGTTCAACAACAACAACAACAACAACAACAACAACAGCTAGAAACGGAAACTTCATTGATTAAATTCTATATTCTATATTCTTGATCTGAATTTTTTTTGTTGTTGTTGTATTCATTCATTCACCTATATTCATTGTGACAAGACAAAAAAGATAAGAATAAAATTCTGTAGATTCTTTTCTTATCATATGAAAATATGAAACATCTTATAATTCGTTGTAATAAAAATAATTGTATCCAAGAATTAGTGCGACAATGTTTTGAATCAATGAAATTCTATTTATTACGTATTGAATATACTACAGATGAATATAATAATCATTTGATACCATGGAAATCACGTATTTTGCAACTTACCATATGGATAACGGCAATGTGTTGGTTGAACATAATATTCTGGATAGCAATATTAAAATGGCCTGAATATGTATTTCCAATTTCATTTGATGATATTGATCAAATGACCGCTGTTCATGGTAGTAAATTGATTTCATTTGTATCAATATGTGCATTTTCAACATTAGAATATGTATGGTGTGCAACATTTTATCGTCTAATCAATTATGATTTACGTATTAATGATTTGATAGTAAAATATAGCCAATTTGGTCAAAATAATCTTAGCGAACGTGGTCATCAATATATTTATAATTTGATCAGAATAACCAATATGTTTACTGGTATTTTGGGATCAATAAGATTAACATTGTTGACCATTTATTTCATCTTGTTGAATATAATTTTATTTAAAAGTTATTTGCATAAAAATCTTATCAGTATCATAAGAATAATCATTTCATTACCAATATCGACCATTATTTATTGCCGTTTAATATATACGATTGGCCAAGGATTTGTTGCATTTAAATTTCTAATCATAATCATTGAATTTTATATAATACAATTGAAAGAATTAATGTACAAAACTAGACAAATATTTCGTCATCGTAATCAAGAAAATTTGATCAAAATCAATAATCGTCGTTATTATTTCCGTTATTTTCAACGCAAATATTCAATACTATATGATGAAATATTGAAAATCAATCAAATAGTTAGCATTTTTTTATTTGCAATTGATATGTTATCAAAATTTTCCATTATAATTTGTGCATTGTTTTATAGCCAACAGATCGATATGAATCTGTTCAATATTTCATTTATTATATCGCTTATATTAATGTTTTGCTCTGCAACCGGTATTTATTCACGTTTGGCGAATGTACCATCATATAATCAACAATGTTGTCGACAGATTTTTGAATGGAATGCACGTTTTCAATCAATGAGTACAAATCACAATGTTAAACGTGAATGGCGACGTAATTTTTGTCTACATAAACGTATGGTAATAAAAATGAACATGTTCATGCAAACAATGACCGATAATCATTTAGGTTTTACATGTGGTCAATTGTTTTCAATTACAAAATATAAATATTCTGAATTAATCATGTTTAGCATTGTATTGGTTTTGTTGTTTTATAAAAAAATTTGTTTGAATCTTGATATTAAATTTTAAAAATTTTATTTCAATTTAAATTATTCAAAAAAAAAAAAACAAAAAACAAATTACAATAAAATTACCAGAATCCAGAATTTAAAAATTAAATCAACACCAGATAATATCATTTTTATCACCATCATCACCATCATTATCATCACCATTATTATTATTATTGTTACCAAATAAAAGACCAAATGATCGTTCATTTAGATTAGTAGTATCGTTCAATGTATTATTATTGTTATCCACTTGATGATGATGGACAAGTTTTTTACCCACACGATTCGATGATGATGGTGGTGGACATTGATTATTGCCATTGAATATTTGATTATTCATTGGAAATTCCATTTGTTGATTGTTGTTGTTCATATCGCCCATTATTGGTTGATGTTGATCTTTCATTATGCCAGGTAACATTGGTACACCGGAAACGGTTGGCAATTGCGGTATCATAGGCATTGCAGGCATTCCATTTGGTATGCCAGACATTGTTGGAATATATGGTGGTCTTGGATATTGTGGATATTGTGGTATTTGTGGAATATGTGGAATATGTGATATATGTGGAAATTGTTGTGGTGGTGGTGGTGGTGGTCTAAAAAATCCGTTTGGTGGTCGTCTTATTGGTGGCGGTCGTGTACGAATTGGTTGCATAATAAAAGGTTTTGGCTGCTGTGGTATTATCGTTGGTAACATTGGTGGTTCACCAGGCGGTATTGGTGCTGGTGGTCCAATCGTTGCAATAACATCCTGACAGTATGCCTGTTGCCATGATACACACATTTTAACACGTATATCAAATCTTTTAGCCGGATGACATTTGATTAAAAATGGATAGCCAAAAAAACACACATAATAATATTCACAAAGTTCATAACGAAATCGACCAAAAGGTGTTGGACAAACAAAACCAGTGCTGGAACCTGGAGCTGGGATAATCAGAGTACGATCTTTATCTGTATTTGTGGTATTATCTGAAAATGTTTGTGTTTGATATGTAAACGGCATTGATAATGATAATTGTGGCTGTTGTAATTGTGGCTGTTGTAATTGTTGTTGTTGTTGATGTTGTTGTGGAAACATTAGTGATGATGTTAATGCTGAATTCAAGCCACCGGAACCGATAAAAGTTTCAGAATTTTCTGTTCCATCATTATCATTATCATTGTCGCTAGTGCTGGTGCTACTTTCATCATTGTCCACAATTTTTGATGTAAAATTCTGCACAATTATCGTACCATCACCATAAACACAGTGAACAATATGATCACCAATTATCGATACTAATATCGATATGCTAACAATGATGATGATTGAATATTTCATTATTTTCAAAGTTTCGTCGATGATGATGATGATGATGACGATGATGATGATCAAATGGATCCATTGTCCTAAATTGATCCAAAGTATTTATATTGAGCCATCATGTCAATCATATGCATAATGGATTCAAACGTACCACCATTTAAAATGTTTTGAAATTTTTTTTTTACTTTGAAACGCATACACATTATTATCATCATCATCATCATATCATTTCTGGTTCAATGCCAATTCCAGCGACGACAACAACGAGATAACGATGATGAATGTATTCAACCACACATACACACACACATGACAAGGAAGTTTACAAACCTAAAGAACTTTATTTAGGTCGAGGTCATTTTATATGAGATGATCCTTGCAATAACAAAAAAAAAGTCTGGTTCCAACAACAACAACAACGAAAACGAAAACGAAAACGAAAACGAAAAGTTTCAAAACATTCAAAAAAAAATTCCATTTTCAGCTCTAATCAATAAATCGGACTATCAATATTGCAGACATAACAAGGATGCTAACCGATCGAAACATGTCAATCACCTAGAATTTAAATATTCGGTCATGCAAATGATGTGTTTATGTGTGTGTGTTAATCAAGTGTCATCATCATTATCATGATCATCAGAATCAGGAAAAAAAATTCACATAACAATACAATACATCTGGATTGAAAATGGCAAAATAGCAAAAAAAAAAAAATAGACATCTGTCATTTTAGATCAAGATCACTGGTTGAAATGGTGGAAAAAAATTGACTGCCCATGAGCGAATAGCTAAGGGGACAGAAAATTGACATAAAAATCAATTTTATTGCTGCATTTTGACCAAATAGTTTACTTTATTTGAATGAATGATAAAAATATTATTAAGCAAGACAAATTTTCTTATAAAACAACATTATCCATGGTAAATTCAACAGAATCAATTCAATATGTTTAAATTTTGTAATAATAAAAAATTGTCCACAAGTAAAACCAAAATGATTTGCAGTCATTGTTTGTAGGAAAAAATTTGTTTTCAACCAAAATCTTGTCCGTGATCGTCGTACATTGAATGTTTGTATACGTGCTAACCACGGTAATATTAACCGATGACAACAATAATGATTATAACCAGGTAATGTTGCCAAACGATAATAAACAATATTCATCAATATGAATATCAATATCGATACAAATACACATGATGAATTGAACATGTTCATTTGTTGTTGTTTACTATAAAATGAACAAACAAATATCGTTGCTGATTTATTGATTATTTCGCCGAATAAAAATAATGTCCTTGTTGTTTGATTGAATTTTTTCAGCTCTTCATAACAACGTACATAGCCAATTTGAAAATGATACCAATAATGACTTGGTAATCTTAGTTTTGATGTTTTCATTTCAACATTTCGTCCACGTACAATAATGTTCATCATACGTTTTAGTTGTAAAAATCTTAATTCCAGAAATTTTGTATAAAACAATAAATAATTACCAATACCAATGAATAATTTGACAAGAAAATTTGTATGCGATGAACCAATCAAATAGATTGGTATGAATAGAATAAATTTACTGAAACTAATATCATCATTTAGATAATAATTAAATGATAAATATGTGGCCACAAATATGCTGATTATAATCGTACAGCTAATTGAATGAATCAATGACATGAATATACGATTTGAAATGGTAAAATAATGACATAAATATTGGCGATTATATTTCGATAATCGTCGTTCTGAATATGAACGTTTTTTATTGCATAATAGATTATCCAATGATGAACGATAATTTAGTACACTACAAAAAAAATAAAACCACATATATTCATTTAAAATGCAAAGAAATATTGATTCAATGGCCAATAGATCAAGACGTTTTGTATTGGTAATCAATTCCAGATCAATTATTGTGATGAAAAAATTATTATTATTCAATGTAAAAAGTGATATAATCATAAGTATAATTATTGCCAATGAATTCAATGTACGCCATATTGTATGACGAAATGTTTGATAATTTAATTTGATTTGATGATATTGATAATCCATACCAGAATAATTCATTCGTAATAATATTGAACGCCATTTTGAATATCCACTTTGTTTTATATCATTAACATCAGTGTATTGAGCAAAAGACATTTTGTTTTGTATTGGTTATCAGACTAAATGAAACTGAATCATCATCATCATCATCGTGGTCGTCGTTTTTTTTTCTTCAATCCAGAATATTCTTTTTTTCCCAAGAATAAACTTTCTTTTATGAAAAAAAAATAATGAAAAAATTGAAACTAATTATTCATTTGAATTTTTTCAATTGTTTGCCTGTGTTTTTTTTTTTACTTTTGCAAATTAATATCACCATATATATTTACTGATCTTTTGTTTGCATGTCATGAAATATTTTTAAATGTTGCACAATTTTTTTTTTAATGATTATGATGATGATCGAACGAAACGAAACGAAATCGACCATTGACCGATGTGTTTTTTTTTTGTTTTGTTTTGTGAGATTGACCAAAAGCAGCAGCAGCAGCAATAACAATAACAACAACAGTAACGGAAGTCGAATTTATTTTTTTTCAACTAAATTACTGTCGTCATCCACTCAGAACATTAGAAAGTTTTTTTTGTTTGTTTTTTCATTTTTCCCGTTAAAAAAAACACACACACAACTGTTTGTAAGTTTGTAAGTTCCGTTTACAACATTGTGGCCAAAAAAAAAAAAAAAACATGGAAAATAAACCCATTCCATTTTTAAGTTTTGGTTTCATCATCATCCTCATTTTGGTTGGTTGGCGGTGGTGGTGGTGGTTTGAATAATGGCCGGATGATTGGCTAATAAACTCATATTGATTGATGGATCGATCGATTAATCGATCAATGTTTTGATTTGGTGATGGATTCTTTAATAGAAAAAAAATAAAACATCAAAATACATCATCAGTGGAACATTTTATTCTAGTTATACCGGAAATTTATAGAATTTTGGATTGAAATTTTTTTTATGTTTTTTTTTAAATATGATGAATAGTAACCACAACACCAAAATCTGATGATGATGATGATGAATGTGGTGCTCAATGTTTTTGTTAGCATATGTACATGTTTTTGTTTGGCGATGGTGGCGACCACAACAACATGACGATGTGTAGACCAGGAAGGAAACCTGATTTCCGGTTTTAAAGATAAATAATGAAGAGAAAACAAAAATCACGTTAAATCAATAGCCAAAAAAAAGAGGGATGGATTTTTTGTTGTTGTTGTTGTTGTTGGAAAAAATAAATAAACCGACAAAATTGCCCCAGATATTTCGTTGGAAAATTTTTTTCCAATGTTGTTGTTGTTGTTGTTGTTGATATTTGTGTTTGTTCGTTTGTTCGTTTGTTCATTTCGACCATGGACGGACGGCCATGATGGTATATTTTTGATTTCGTTTCAACAACATCAAACATCATCATCTGTATGTTTTGTCTATTGCGTTCTAGATCAATTGATTGATTGAATTGAAAATTTCATTGATGAAATTTTCAATTATTCAATGTTAATTTGTATATGATGATGGTGATGATTGTGGTTCCGATTTAAATTTTTGTCATGTTGTTGTTGTTGTTGTTGTTGTTGTTCTGCCATTATTTCAATATTCAATATTCGTCAATTGTCAATTTTGATTTTTGACATTATCAAATTATATCCTGTTTTTGGTTGTTTTTGTTTGTTTGACATTGGCATTTTTTTTTTGTTTCGTTTTCTAATGATGATAATGAATCGTCTTCGTCATCATCATCATCATCATCATCATGGTGGTTGTTGTTGTAATTCGTCATTCATAATGCGTTGATGAGAATCAAAATCCAACACACGCACACACCCAAATTAAATGTCAAAACAAAAAAAAAATCTGATCATCATCATAGGGAATCCAAAGTTTTAAATAATAATTTTATAACCATTTTGTTGATATGTTTGTTGAGTGTTTGAAATAATCAATGGTGATAATCAAAATCGATAATTGATAAATCAACAACAACAACAACAACAAAATGTTTAAATTAATATCAAAAATGGGCTGTATATCACCCAAACCAATAAAACATCCAAAAAAACCATTGCCAACAATACCGAATAATAATAATAATAATAATCAACAATCAGAACAACAACAATCGCAACAACAACAACAACAACAATTGATTATAACTACAAATGATATGGATTCAAATCAACAACAGCAACAAAATGATGAAAAAACAACAACAACAACAACAACCGCAATCGCATCCGCAACAACAACAGAATCCATATCTAAAAGCAACATCAAATCGTACAAATTCAATTTCAATGATAAATAATAAAAATTCTATATGTGAATCAAATAAAACAGCAACAACAACAACAACAGCGACAACGACAACAACAACAAGTGGTTCGAATAAATTATCAGGTAGTAATAAGAAATCAATATTTTCAGCAATTACAAATTTAAATTCATCATCATCATCATCATCATCATCATCATCAGCAACAACAGCGAATTCATCATCATCATCATCTGCAGCGCCATTATTGAATGGCCGTAAAGAATCCATTGGATTTTCACATAATCGTACATTACCGACACCAATGAATAATGTAACCAATCACAATGTTACCGCAACCACCAACAACAACAACGCAAACACATCAATTTCATCATATAATCATATTCATCATTCACATCATAATCATCAACAACAGCAACAACAACAACAACATCAACATCAACAACAACAACAACAACAACAACAACAGAATAGTCAAAAAATTGTTATAGCATTATATGCATATGAAAGTCGTGATGAAGGTGAATTATCATTTGAAAAGAATGAAAAATTAGTCATATTGGATGATACAGAACCGGATTGGTGGCTAGCATATAAACTAACACAACCAGAACGTAAAGGTTATATACCGATGAATTTTGTCGTATCGAATGTAATTGAAACGGAAGAATGGTTTTTTTCAAAAATATCACGTCGTGAAGCTGAACGTTTATTATTATTTGGTGATTATCCACGTGGTACATTTTTAATTCGTAATAGTGAACAAGATCCAGGTGAATATTCAATGAATGAATGAATGAAATTATTTTTTCTGATGAACGAAAAAAAAATCGAATATTATTTCATTTATGTGTAACACATAGGATGCTTCTCGCTTTCGGTTCGAGATTTTGATGCAATGAAATTGGATCATGTTAAACATTATAAAATTCAAACCAAATCGAATGGTGATTTTTTCATTACATCAAGACGTTCATTTTTAAAATTACAGGACCTAGTTGAACATTATTCAATGGCTAGTAATGGGCTATGTTTTCGTCTTACAAAATCATGTCCAAAAGTGGCACGTGCTGTTGTTGGACCATCCGTACGATCGGATGAAATTGATCGTCGTGACCTACGACTTATACGTGAACTTGGTTCCGGTAATTTTGGTAAAGTTTTCTATGGCCTATATCGTGGCCAAACACAAGTTGCAATAAAAACATTGAAACCAGGTTCAATGTCTGTATCGGCATTTCTGCAGGAAGCGGCAATAATGCGTCGTTATCGTCATGAAAAATTAGTACCATTATATGGTGTTTGTTCAACTGGTAAGTGTGAGTTTTATTTTTGTTTGTATTCATGTAAATTAACCTTTAAAAAAACAAACAAACAAACAAACACAAACCATTATTGATCGTTACGGAATACATGTCAAAAGGATCATTATTGAATTATTTACGTGATCATCCGGAATCATCATCATTAACGATAATCGATTTGATTGATATGTCATCACAGATTGCATCCGGTATGGCATATTTGGAAAAAGTAAAACTAGTTCATCGTGATCTGGCTGCACGTAATTGTTTGGTTGGTGATAATCGTGTTGTGAAAGTTGCCGATTTTGGTTTGGCTAGAATTATTGAAGAAGATTATTATATTGCACAAGTTGGTGCAAAATTTCCAATAAAATGGACAGCACCAGAAGCGGCTAGTAAAGGAAAATTTACAAGCAAATCTGATGTATGGTCATTTGGTATACTGTTATATGAATTAATAACCAAAGGACAGGTACCATATCCCGGTATGAGTAATCGTGATGTATTGGAACAAGTGGATCGTGGTTATCGAATGCCTAAACCAAAAAATGTTGATTGTCCAAATTCTTTATATCAAATAATGTTACAATGTTGGGAAAAGGATCCAGAAAAACGGCCAACATTTGAATATCTTTATAGTTATTTTGATGATTTTTTTGTGGCCACTGAACCACGTTATCGGGATGCTGATGATTTTTCTCAACAACAACAACAACAGCAACAATATGAAACGCATAAAATACAATTACAACCGCAACAACAACAACAACAACAACCACCACCACAACAACTGCAACTGCAACAGCAACAACAACAACAACAGCAACAACAATTACAACAACAACAACAACCACCACAATCACCAAAACAAACAACAAATCCAATAATACCAATTACCAATCGGTCAATTAAAGAGACTATTGATTGTTCAAAAATTGAATAAATTTCAGCCATAAATTTTCAAATAAAAAATTTGTTATTTGCCACTTTATTTCAGAAACATTGTGTTGTTTCAATTTCAAAAAACAACAACAACAACAACAACAACAAAACTGTAATTCTGATTATCTTGAATTCTATTTCCGTTGTGATCGATTAAAATGTGATGGATCGATAAATAAAATTCAACATGATGAGTAGCGAGTGTCGGTGACAGATATTTTTATTTTCAATAAAAAAAAACGAATTCCAACGAATTTCAATCAAGTGATTGATTAGTTGGAAAAAAAAAGATTCTCAATTGAGATATATATTTATTATTTACACAATGAAAAATTCTAAATGTTGACACCAAATTGCATCGTCATCATCATCATCATCATCATTCATCAGATTTAGACATTTTTTTTTTTTTTTTCCAAACACATAAACGAATCTTGAATAGTGCGTAGGAATTTAAAATGAAAATGAAAATAGAATCGATCGATCGATCGATAGAGATTTCGATCAATCTTGTTGTAAAAAAAAACTTTGCCCAAAAAATAAAACTTGATCACGTTAATCAGTAAATTGATTTCATCATTAGTAAGCACATCATTGAGAACAAGGCGATAAAATTGATTGGAGAAAAAAAAATGTCATTCCATGTAAGCAGAACAGAATCAAAATCAACTTTTTTTTGGATAATTGAATTGAAGAATTCATTCAAAGTAATTATCAAGCAACAAAAAAAAACAAATTGGTGCAACCAGAAAACAAAAATGGAAAATTTTCAGATCATTAGATTGAATGTAAAAAAAACTCTTGGAGAACGAAATGAATTTTATTTTATTATTTTTAATAAGCTACACAGACGATATGATGATGATGATGATGATGAATTTTCAGGAAAATTTTTAGGAAAAAAAAATCCAAATGAATCATTTTTGTTTGATTTGTGTGTGTGTGTGTATTTTTTTAGTGAAAAATTTCTAGTGAAAAAAACAAGAATTTAGAATTTTAAAAATACAGAATTTTGAATTTTAAAAAGAATTATCAAAATTTGATGTTAGAAAAACGGTAAAATTGTAGTTTCAATTAAACAATTGTTTTGGTGAATTGAAGAATTTTGAATTTTGTTTTTTTTTTTTTGGTAAAGAAAACATTCTGCACAACAAAAGAAAAGTGAAATTGGATAGAGAGAGAGAGAGAGAGAGAGATCATCAGAACTGGGTTAATTTTTCTTGGTTTTTTTAGTTGGTTAGATTTTTGAAACAAATTTTGTGAAAATAAAAAAATCAATTTCGTGTGTGTGTGTGTGTGTTGATGTGAAGAATAGAAATTAAAAATTCAAAGAATTCAGGAATTCACAAAAAACAAAGAAAAAATGGAATGAAATTAATGTGGAATATGAGAAAAAAAAAAAAAGAAAATGAATGAATGAATGAATTTGAATTAAAATGAAAATGAAACAGAGAAAATGAATGAGTGGATGAATGGAAAAAAAATTGTTTTGACTATCTAAATATATGGATTTAGTAAGCGGAATCAGGCGAGCAAGCCAAATGAAAAAAAGCAAAATGCAAACAAACAAACAAGCAAATACTGTGGATGAAAAAGTGGAAAAAATTGAAATTCAAAAAAAGAGAGAGAAGAAAAGAAAAAAAATTTCTATATGGCAAATGTTTTTCTTGTTTGTTGTGTTTATAATAATAATGGAAAAAATTTGGGGAAATTTTCCGGAAATTTTTTTTTTTTTTTTTTGGTTGTTTTTGGGAATAATAATGAAAAAAAAATTCTAGAAAATTTTTCTAAATTTTAGTTTTTTGTGGTCAGTGTAAAATGATGATAAAGATGAATATGATGATGATGATGATGATGAGGATATAAATGTGTGTGTGTGATACGATGACTAAATGTGAGCATAGAAATAGAAATTAAATTGATCAAGAATTTCAGATTTTTTTTGTTGTTGTTGATTGTTGAATTTGGTGAAGATTTGAACATTTTTTTTTTTAAATCGAGGTGATTGAATAAAGATGTATTTTTGTTTTGTGTGTGTGTGTTTATTGATTTGTGTTTCAATTTTTTTATCCATTATCGATCATCATTTATTGTATTGATCATCATAGCTAGATGAACCAGGAGCCGAATCGCTCATTGAATCGGCATTTGAACCAGAAAGATGATGATGATGATGATGATGGTGATGTGGATGTCCACCGGGACCACCACCACCACCACCTAACATTGGACCACCACCTTGGAATGTTTCAGTTGGATCATTTGGTTCACTTGAATATGGACCACCATATGAACCATATGTATCACCAAAATCATTATGAATGCTATATATAGATATATAAGAAATGGATAAGAAAAAAAAATCAGAAAATTAATTTAAAAAATTAAATGAAAAAAAAAATTAACAAACATATCGCCATCTATCGTTTGGAAACAAAAATTTTTTTTTCAAAAAAATTAATTTTCCAATCAACAACAAACAAAAAATAAAAAACAAAACCCGGATGAATTGAATCAGTTTTTTTTCCTTTCTCACACAATTCAGTAATCGATAATAGCAATAAATAAATATAAAAAAATCTACTGTAATTTGAGGAACTAATTTTCCAGACGAGAGAGAAAATAAAAAAAAACCTACTTCCTGGAATACACCGATTCATATTTTTCATGTGTTTTTTCAGCTTTCACAAATTTTTTTTTTTTTATTAAGATAAAAATTAATTTTTAGCTTCAAAATTGATTATATTGATGATCAATCATATCTATCTATATAGCTTCAGGTGTGTGTGTGTCTGGTATATATATATTGATTATATAACAACAATATAATCAATATAGATAGATTGAATTGTTTGAATCAAATTTTTTCATTTCATTTCATTTCTCGTTTTATTTTTCGTCTTAGTCGTCGTTGTTGTTAACTGAATCAATGAATGAAAATGGAAACACTATCCATCATCATCAGCAGAGAAGCAATGGGCAAAACTATAAAACACAATACTGATGATGTATAGGGTATTGTTGTATTTGAGCAAAAAAAAAAAAATTGAAAATTGTCTTGCTCTGATTATTCCCGAATCTTACTGTTATTTTTTTTGCTGCTGCTGCTGCTGTTGTTGTTGTGTGTGTGTGTGTGTGTGCATGTGTGTTCGGGTATTGTACGTTATATTTGCACCTAATTGAAATGAACATTAACAACAACAACAACAACAACAACAACGAAGACAACGACAACAAAACAACAGAAATTTTAGCCCAAAACCATAACCCGATTGTTGAAAAAAAAAAAAAAAAAAACAGACACACACACACAAAACTTGAAAGTTTGTTGAATGAATGAATGAATGAATGAATGAAATTGAAAATGGACAGAAAAAAAAATTGTATGAAAACCCAAAAATAGATGGAAAATCTGTTCGTTCGTGTATATGTGTGTGTGTGTTTGATATTAGATTGTCAACTTGAAATCATTTTCTTTTGGTTGTTGTTCATCTGTTTGTTTGTTTGTTTGTTTGCTATATATCAATGTATGCAATATGATTAAAATTGAGATTGATTGTGATTGTGTAATCGGTGTAAAAAAAAAATTAAATAATTTCATTGTGAACATTTTTTTTTCCTTTATTCGTGCGTGTTATTTATATTTTTTTTTCATTGGTCACGATATATATATTATTATTTATTGTGTGTGTGTTTGACAATGTTTGATTCAACTGGAAAAGATAGGAACAAAGGTGTGTTGATTCAAAAAAAAAAAAAAAAAATTCACTTACGGCATAAGATGTGATGGCTGTGAATATGGTGAAAATATTGGCCCACCAGAACCACCAATAAATGGACCAAAACCATGTGTATGTGATGGACCAACATGCATCATATGTCTTGGTGGTGGTGGTGCTGGTGGATGATGATGTGCAGCAAATTGATGTGTAGACATTGCTGTCATTGGACTATGAAACATTGGTGGTCCACCGGAAACCATACCAGCAAATGGTGGACCAAATGCAGGTCCAGCTGCCATACCATACATTGGCATCGGTGGATACATTGCAGCTGGTCCCATTGGCATTGGTGGACGTATCGTTGTTACATCTTCTTTTTTCTCATCTTTTTTCTGATCATCCTGTTGATTCTGTTGATTATTTTGATCTTTATTACCACGTAATTTTGCGAACCAATTATTCATCTGTGAGAATAGACCTTTTTTCTCTTGTGGTTCAGCCGATACGGTCATTATCATCATTATCATTGTAATGATGACAATCATGATGGTTATAAATTTCATTGATAAATCATGACGATGATGAAGTTGATTATTATGAGTACGACAACGATAAATTTCAATTTTCTTCATATTGAAATTCTTGATTCTTGATGGAATTCTGGAATAAAAAAAAAAACAGACCTACACACACACGCACACTCACACACAAAAACACAAACACCTATAACCGACTACATTCACACTTGCATACACACACACACGTTTACACACACACCGGCGATTCAGGTATAGTAGCGAGAATGGTAAAAAAAAAATAAAACAAAACACAAGAAGAAAAAAAGGCAAAATTTTTTGGTTTGGGTTTTTCCGCAATAAAAACAACAACAACAAACAACTTTCAAATGATAAATAATAATTGTTCATTCAATTTCCTTTTTATATATACCACCTTGTTCACCCATATTTTTCTCTTACTTTTCACTAACTCACCAGTGGGAAAAAAAATATAATTCAATTCTCAGCAAATAGAAAAGAAACGAAAAGAAAACAAAAATTCAATCCAGAAACAGATTTTCTTGTTCTCTCTTTTTACTTTTTATTTTTTACTTTTTTTTTTGATCGCTAATTGTATATCTCCATTTGAATCAAAAATGGTGTACAAAATAATAACGGCAACTTAGACAGATTCATCATCGAAAGTCGTTCATCATCATCATCATCATTGTAATATATATTTCTAGCTCAATGAAAGAAAGAAAAAAAAGAGCAACCAACAACAACAACAACAAATAGGGAGATTGGAAATTTTTTTTGAAGAGAAGAGATTTCAATGTGTGTGTGTGATTTCAAACATTTTTTTTCTGTTCTTGTCATCATCGTGATCATTTTCCAATCGATTGATTTTGTTATTGTTGTTGTTGTTTTTTTTTGTTACTTTTTCTTCTTCACACACACACACACACACACACACGCATGCGTTAATCACACACAACTTGTGAATTGATTTAAATTATAAAAATAAAAATAACAATGGAATTTCATAGTGAAAGAATCCATTTTCAAAAAAAAAAAAACCAATTCTTTGAATACAAATGGCGATGAAAATTTTTTTTCTCCAAATTCATCAATAGATAATTCATTTCGTTGATTCATTTGATTCGAATCAATCGATTCATTCATTCATTCGGATTTGATGATGATACAAACAAATGACAAATGATTGATCAATTTGATAGATTGATGATTTGTACAGCTATTAAAATCATTGTGTGTGTGTGTGAGTGAGCACGTTTGTGTCACAAAAAAAACGATTGAATTTGATCTATTTATACCCAGGTAAAAAAATTAAGATGATAATAATAGGAAATGAATTTTCTTTTCATTTTGTCGTCATTGTCGTCATTGTTGTCATAGTCATCGATATTATTATTCATCGATCAATCAATCAATCAATATATTTATTTTGTTTAAAATTGATGCAATGAATAGGTAAATGAATCTGGGACAATCAAATGATGTTTTCAATCAGTGATTGATTTGCAATTTTGAAATGAATAATAATAATAATAATAAAATAAGCATAGCATCGATATTTTTATTTTTTGTAAAATTCTCTTTGATGGATCGATTTCGATTCAATCAATCAAAAAAAAAAAATGTAAAATTAGATCAAATTAGATTTTTTCAGGTTTCAAATCCAAATTGCAATGGCCTGTCTAAAAAATTTTTTTCCACCACCAAGAATTTCATCATTACACCAATTTTGTCGTTGTCATTAATAGTGAAAAAAAATCAGTTTGACCTCGAACCAGAAAAAAAAACACTTTTCCATGCTATAAAGTCAAAAATTATTTGATTCAATCAATGGTCAGCTTTTTTTTCTGACGATAATGTTGAAATAAAATTTTTGATCAAAAAACTGGACTGACCAATTATGCACACACACACACACACACACAATGGCATTTAACTGGAGACACTGGAGAAATTGTATTGTTCATAGATCAGATCATTTTTTTTCTGCGTGAAAAAAAAAATTTGTTCCATATATATTACAATTATTATTATTATATGACGATTATTACCATATTCGTTTCGCTACACCAAACGTTGGATATTAATTTTTTTTTGTTTTCATTTTGTTTCAGGTAAGCAAACAGATAAACAATGTGTACATTTTTTTTTTTTTTACAAATTATCATGACCTTTTTTTTGTTGTTTCTAATTGAGAGTGAAAAAAATTTTCAGTGAAAAAAAAAATCCATAAACATAATGACGATGACGATGACTTACTAAATGATTACTAAACTAGATTTTGTCGTACAAAATAAACGATTCGTTCGATCATTGATGATGAACAGTGGATGATCGATTATTGCTTGGATTGAATCCATCAATACAATATATATTTACAGCCGAAACAAACAAAAAAAAAACTTTGTCAACCAAAAAAAAAAAAAAAAAATTTTTTCATCGTTGTTATTTTTATCACCACCATCGTGTGTTGAATTGTTGGATTTTTTTTTTGTTCTTTTTCTTTGGCGTTTAATCTTTAGAAAAAAAAACGCTCGGTTAAAGTCGATAATTATTGCACAAGTTTCATATTTACACCGTTGCAGTATTAGTGATTTATAAATCATGATGAATATGGCACGATGGCATTAAACAATTGGTGCAAATAATTATTTCGTCGCTTCGTTTGAATATTGGTTGAGTAGATGACGACGATAATTGTTTGCAGACAAGAAAAAAAAAACCTTCAGGATGATGGAATTGTATAGAAAACCGGGTGAAGAAGAGCAAAACAAAAACGACAAATTATTAAATATGAACGTCACTAACGATGATAATGGTGATGGTGATAATGATGATGATCATCATCATCATCGAAACAAAAGTTTTAGTGAACGAAAATAAAAACGAAAGATCCGGTAAATCACATTTGAATCTATTCAACCGAATCATCTGCTGTTACTTTTAATAAGATATAATGATAATTATCGGCAAACGGTTAATTATAATGACGATGATGATAATTACGTATTATATGGATTTTCATTCGAAAACAAAACAAAACAAAAAAATGGATATTAATAACTTTCTATAGAAAGATTTTATCCAATATATTTAACAATTATATACATAATCTCAGTGTGTAATTTTTTTTTTTTGCTTTTTTTGGATCTAAAAATATTTTCAACGAAAAAAAAAATAAAATACACAAAAGAAAAAGATACATAGTTGTTCCATTTTGATCCACCAAAATATTTCGACAATTTTGGATGTTCATTTTTCAAACAAACAGATGAATGAATGATGATTTTGAATTATTAAAAAATGGAATGAAATGAAATGAAATCAAATCAATTTGAATCAATCGATTCAATAATGACTTTCATTTTCATTTGATTATATTCAGCCATTTTATTCTAATTAACACCATGATTATCATATGTGTGTGTGTATTAATAGATCAACAAATGATGATGATGATTTTCCATCAATAATCCAATGAAAAAGGCAAAACGAAAAAAAAATGGCGAAAAACTGGCTCGATTTATTTACTTTCTCGCGTTTTCTCGGTTTTTTTTCCATGCCACCAATTCAATTCATTGTGTTGTGTCTTTGGAATGAAAATAAAATGATTGTGTAAATTTTAAAACGAATGAAAATGGAATGAATAAAATGAACATTAAATACAACAGAAAAAAAAGTAGTGTCGCTTGATTGATTATTATATAATAATGATAATAATAAAAAAAATATCATTAAGCTCATTGTGTTGTCGCTGTCGTTGTTGTTGTTGTTGTTGTTGTTTTGAGATTTCCGATTTCTATTTTCAAAATTTTTAAAAAAAAAATGAAAATTTTTTTCTTTCTATTCCATTTCATCTCTCATTACATTTCATTATCTATTTCATTGTCCATTTTCATTTGGATAATTTAGATTTATCCAAATACACACACACAAACGTTATTTAAACATTGTTGTCACATTTTGTATGAATATATATATGGTCGGATTTATTTTCTTTTCCGGTGACCGATTTTCATTACAATAAACAAACAAATGATACCTGGACATTATTTTTTTTTTTCCCCATTCAAATTCAACAACAACAACAACAACAGGTCAAAAAGCTCAGTTTAATTTAAGTGCTGTGCAATTTGTAATGAAAAATGATTTGTCAGTCGCGTTTGCTGCGTGTGTGTGTGTGTGTGTATGTTTGTCATTTCACCAGAAAAAATGCTCATTAAACCCTTTTTTAATGATAATTGTTTCGAATCGTTGTAATTGATTTGTAATGATTTTTTCGCACACACACACACACACACACGCACACAATTTCAGATTTTTAAAATGCGGAAATATTTGTCATTTTAAATTGAAAAAAATAGGAAATTTTGCGCAGGAAAAATGCAAGAAAAAATGACCACCACCAACCATTATTGAGCAGCTTTCAATCATGACAATCAATGATTCATCATCATTATGGATGATAAAACAAACTGCCAGTAATTTTGTTCGCAATAATAATAATAAAAAATGATTAAAATGGATGGTAACAAAAAAAATTTTAAAAATTTAAAATATGAAAAAAAAATTCCATCCACCAACAACAGATGTCGCTACGGATGCCATTTTTTTTGATATTTGAATTTTGTTTCTTTTGTTGTTGTTGTTGTTGTTGTTGTATATAAATAGAAAAAAAATCGAATCAAATTCAAATTTTAAAATTGTTCATAATAACGATGATTGTCAATCGATTTATTTGTTGTTGTTGTTGTTGTTGTTGCCATTATTATATAATTGAAATAATTTTGGCAACACACACACACACACACACACACACAACACTTATCTTCAAAATTACGACCATTTAACATCCAATTTTGGATCAATGATATGAATATCATCATCATCATCATCATTTATTTCTAATTTTGGACATTCTATTTCAGTTTTTTTTTCTCTATTCCATTTTAATTCGATATCATCATCATCATCATCATCATAATCATCATTTCGAATCACTAGCATCATCCATGATGAATCAAATGAAATGCAATGAAATTCGAATGAAAACTAGGGATTTTTTTTGGGTAACAGCAATGCAAAGCAAAGCAACAACAACAACAACAAAAAAATCCACGGATAAATCCAATACATGTCCGGATTCTCAAATTTTCCACACTAATCTAATAATTGTATATCTGTGACAGATTTTTTTTTTACCACCACTCAAAAGTACCAAACAAATCCTTTTTCAGTAAATGAATCCATACACACACACACACTATTATCATTGTTGTCACACAAAATTTTCATTTTGACACATTTTAAACACACACACACACACACAAACAGTGAAAAAAAACCATCAAGCCATGTGGATCATCCAATTTCATGAAAAAATTATTTAGCTTCCTTGACAGTTTATTATTATAGTAGATAGATGGATATAGATATCGGCAGCAACTCGAAAAACAAGATTATAGATATGAAATGGATGAAGCCGTTCTGTTCAGTTATTTGATTTCATTTCTTCTCCATCTCTCTCTCTCTCTCTCTTTATATCTCCGTCACTGTTTATTTATCACTGTCACAAAAAAACCAAATGCTAAATGTTCCAAAAAATGATGATGATGATGATGATGTGTTGATTGTCTTGTTGTTGTTTTTTTTCCTATTTCTGATGTAATCACCAAAAACACAGACAATGATAAAATGGAAAGAAATTTTTTTTTTGTTTCTTTGTTTAGACTTGATAGTATACAAAGTTTAAAGTTCAACAAAAAAAAGATGTTAAAAGTTCATCAAAACGTTTTTTTTGGGTTTTTTTTGTCGTTGTTGTTGTTGTTGTTGTTGACCTCTTCATTGTCATTCATTCAATTTTTTTTTTGTAGTCATAAATTTGGTTTTCTCGGTACACACAGTTGTACATCATCATCATCATCATGGATTGTGTTTGTTTGTTTTTTTTCTGGTCAAATGTTGAGTTAATGTGCCATTTTGATAATGATGATGATGATGATGATGAGGGAAAAAAGAAATTTGGAAAAAAAATTCACATCATAAAACGAAACGAAACGATAATGATGCGGCCATTATTTTTTATTTGAATAATAAGTGGAGATGGTGAAATGAAAAAAAAACGACACAAGGGATCTATATACCATGAACTTCAAAAAAAAAAAAAAAATTTTCTGCTATTGAAAATGACATTGATGATGATGATCGAAAAAAAATATGAATAATCCAAACAAAAAAAAAAACACACACACACACATTTATTGCTGTATCATTCAGAACATTTTTTTTTTCTTGAAATAAACAGAAGTTATTATATTGTGAATGAATGAATGAATGTAAAAAAGGTGAAAAAATAAATTAAGGTCAACGCTTTATTGTAATGCGATGGTGGTGATGGTGATGGTGATGGTGAAGGGAGGAAAAGGAGAAAATCGCTTCAAGAATTGGACAAAAAATTGTTCCATTTTTTTTTGTTTTGTTTTGTTTTGATTTTGATGATGATGATGATGATGATGGTCACAGTTCAGAGAGAAATAATAAAACAAAAAAAAATCGAACGTTTCTTTTTCCATCATTAGCGGAACACATCACCATCATCATCATCATCATGAGGTCATGAACACATATATGACGTATGATGCTAGTGCAAATGTTTGTTGTTGTTGTTGTTGTTGTTTGTTTTTTCTCCATCTCAAAAAGAATCCATCTCTCATCATTTTATTGAAAGTCCATGGACTTGATAATTTCAATTTTTTTTACACTGTCTGCAAAGAGATTTTAACCTCGAAAATTAATGCCTATGTGTGTCGATAAACATTGTTTGTTTGTTTGTTTGTTTTAATTTGATATATCCAATACGAATGAAATCGGATCAATGATTAATCAATTGATCTATCGAATAAAATCAAATTCAAACAGTCAATTTCGTAAGGAAAGCCAAATCAACAAGTAAATCGATCAATCAATCAATCAAAATCATCAATGTCTAAACAAATAAAAGTTAATTGAATAAGGAATTAATCAATCAAAAAAAAAGAAAGAAAAAAATGATCACCGACAACAAAATGTGTATGGATTGATTTCAAATCAAATCGAAAGATGTGTGTGTGTGTGTATTATATATCCAGGTCGATAGTTTACAATCATAAATTGATTGTGTGTTTCATTTCACTTTTTGTTTTGTTCTCCTTCCCAGATCATCATCATCATCATCATGTGTGGCTATTTCGACCTTAATTACCAAAAAAAAAACTACAAACAACAAAGGTAAGTAAAACAAAACAAAAAATTATGACAATTTGACCGGATCACCATCCATCCAAAATAATGATGATGACAAAAAACAACAACAACAACAACAGCAGCAACAACAACAACATTTAATTGGACACAAAAAAAAGTGATCAAAAATGCTTGATGGCTGCTGGCAATGGTGGATAATTATCGTTAATAATAATAATCATCATCATCATCATCTTGAAACTTAATTTTCTTTCCATTTTTTTCGTTCTCTCTCTCAATTGTCTTCAACAACAACAACAACAGAAAAGATATTATTATCATGATGATGATGATGATGATGATAATATCATTCTGGTGATGAATTTGTCCCGTTTTTTGTTGTTGTTGTTGCAAAGAAAATTTTTTTTTTTCATTTTCATATAACTATGTCATTTCGTCGTCGTAGTCATCGTCGGTAATCATAATAATAATCTCACCATCCTGTTGTCCTTTTTTTTGCTTTGTTCGTTTTTAGTTTTTTTTTATATCCAACAAAGAAGAAGAAGGAAAAAAAACAAAAAGATTTTTACAGGAAAAAAAACAAAATTAGACAATTGTATGTTTGCGTTTGGCTTCGAAGTCACAAATTTTTTTTTTGTTTCTCCATGAAACCAGTGTTTACTTGTTGTATGATTTTCTTGTTTTGGTTCGTTCTTCTTCTTTTTTTCTCGTTCTGGTACATTTAATTTCATCATTCACTTTCTCAAATGTGTGTGTGTGTGTGTGTGTGTGTTATTCTTCTTAATCATCATCAACCAAAAAAAAAAAAAAACAATCGTCATATGATATGTATGACATTTTGACTAATTGAATGAAAAGAAATAATTAAATTTGATGAATTGAAATGAAATGAAATTTTTTTTTTTTTGCTGAATTCAATTTAATTTTAATGAATTTTAAAATTCAATTTAGGTTTGTGTCACATGTGTAGTAGCAGGCAGCCAGGCAAGCATAACATAGCAAGCAACAAGTGATCAAGCAACAGGTAGACCAAAAAAAAAAAAAAAATACAAAATGTCCAATTGTAATGAAAATTCTTCATCATCACCATAATAATCAAGAAAAACGTATGGGTTTTTTTTTCGATCATTGTGATAATAAGTAAAGGCAAGCAAAAAAAAAAAAAAAAATTATCCTCATGAGTTGAACAAGCAAGCAATCATTTGAGACACTTGTTGAACTTTGAACATTTTTTCATTCTTGTTTGATTTGTTTCAATTATTATTTTACTGAAAACAAAACAAAACAAAAAAAAACTATAACTTTATCATCATCATCATCATTAAGAACATCAATCAATCAATCAATCAATCTGAATGGTAAATAAAAGTTTCGAATCAAAAATCCATTTCTCTCTGCAGATAGCGAGAACAAAAAAAATGGGAAAAAAAGCCATTCGCAAGCAAATTTACTTATCATTATGGTTTGTCACTGTTGTTGTTGTTGTTGTTGTTGTCTCTTTTCAGTGAATTTGATGATTGCAAAATCAGCAAATTTTTTTTCTCTCGAAAAAAAACGAAAGAAAACTCCTCCTTTTTTTTCTTTCAAACTTAAACGCATTGATGATGATGATAATGGAAATATATATCCACTAAGAAAAAGTGAACACAGAGAGAAATAATCGTCAAAAAATCCAGTCAATAAACAACGTTACCAATATAAATTGAATGGTAACGTTGTTTATTGATAGATGGATATTGAGACGATTTTTTTTTCTTTCTCTGTGTGCATATGCAGAAAACAACAACATCCACAAAATCGAAATCAATTCAAAAATGCTCACTGACTCATCATAGACACATTTATTACATTCACAGAAGTAATCATCGTTCGAAACACACGTGTAAGAAGAGAGAGAGAGTGAGAAAAAACAAAAAAAAAAAAAAAATTTTTTTTGAAAAAAGGTATGTATTCGAAATGATGTGATTGAAAACAAATTGATTGAAATCACCAATGATATTTGATAATCAATCGATAATTATGCGATTTTACGATTTTATCAGTTTTTTATTTTGATTTGATTTGATCAAAATAAAAATCAAGCAATCGATAAACATTGATGCAAAGATTTGCAGTGATGAAAAGAGCGAGAAAATAAGAGAAACATAGAGAGATAGAGAGAAAGTAACCACCAGAAGAAGAAAAAAAAAAATCTGAAACATTTTTTTCAGCATTATCGTATATAAAAAGAGAGAGAAAGAACCACGAACGAATGAAAAAGAGAGAGAGAGAGAGAGAGAGAAAAAAATTTTCAGTTTTCAGCCAAATACCACATACATTACAGTCAGTTTATGGAACGCAATCATTGTCGTGAAACGTTTCATTTTGTTTTCATCATTGATAAAAATTTTAAAAATTTGAAATTTTTAAAATTTTTTTTTTGTCTTTCAAATAAATTTCTGTGTGTGTGTGTGTGTGTGTGTGTTTGTTTGTTCTGGTGATTGATTGATTTGATTTGATTTTTTTGTTCTTCGAATTATCTCAACAGATCTCATCATTTTTGTCCATAGCATCACCAAAAAAAAATATCGTCGTCATTGTTTTTGAAAACTAAACTAAAAATGGCCATCAATATTAATGATTATATGCCATCATTGGAATCAATATTCAAGATATTAAAATGGATATTACTTGTATCGAATGGTCTTGTTATAATTGGTTCAATATTTGTATTGATTAGTGGCCGTGATCTTGGTGAACCAGAATTTCGTAATAATCATCGTGTATTAATATTTGCTTGTATTATGGTCATATTATTCTGTATGTTGGGCGTTATTGGTGTTTGGCGTAAACATTTTCCATTGGTATTGACATATGCAATATTGATGACAATTGCATTAATGTTGGAAATAGCTGAATTATCTAAAGAGGATGTTGGATCATTTTTTGCATCATCAGCCATAGTTTTATGTGCATATGTTTATGCTTTTCTTATTCGTCATTATGAAAAACAGGAAGAAATGAAACGAGTTTTCTCTCATCAAACGGCTAAAATCTAGTAAATTGATTTTAAAAAAAAAATGAAAATGAAAATGAAAGAAGGAAGCAAAAACGAAAAAAAAAGGAAATGAAACCAACAACAAACCTACATTATATTGATGATTTGTTGTTTTGTGTTAAACTGTGCATGTGTGTGTGTTTAGTGTAATTTTCATAATAATCATCCAACAACAACAACAACAACAATAAATCAACGGAAAATCGGCTTGGTTTTTACCACTTTTTTCATCATCATCATCATCATCCTGATCATTATTATTATTAATAAATAGAGAAAAAAAATCCATCCAAATGGATTACATTTCACACAAACAAACAGACACACACACACACACACGTAAACATTACATAATCTATATATACCATAATCTTGTTTAATTTTTCTTTCTTTCATAACATTTTTTTTTTTCATCGGTTTGGAACAATCAACGGAAGTTTTCTTGTTTTGTTTTGTTCGTTTGGACAACAAACAAGACAACAAGAAAATTGATCAATCATCAATCATCATCTTTTCATTATTATTGATCGAAATTGATCATTATTGTGGATATAAACGATAATATTCAATCAATCGATTTTATATCATTAGATGTGAAACCATACATATACGCCCACACACACACATACATATATACACACAAATTATCATCATCATTATATAATCACATATAAAATTATCATTATCATTACCGTAAATGTAAATGTAAATAAATAAAGTTGAAAATTTTTTTGTTTTCTAGTTAAAAGAATTTGAATTTTTTTTTTCGCTTGTTATATAAAATGGTCGGCAGAAAAAGGTTAAAGGTCTCTCTCTCTCTCTCTCACACACACACACTTTCCATTTGTTGTTGTTACACTTGACCTGAATTTTATCAACAGGTGTTTTGACGGTAGCTTAATATGATTGAGGGTTTCAAGACTGGTTTTGTCTTGTATACTTACTTGTGACGATCTATAGATGTTGATATTATCATTCAATGGTGATGATTCTAGGTCATCCGTGTTTTTTTTTCAATATTCACATTCTCTCAATGTTGATAATCATTATTATGATGGCCGTAAGGCGAATAACGATGCATTCAAGCATTCCAAACGTGAATGAATGAATGAATGATGATGTGAAAGTGAAAGTTTATTATTTTACATTGAACAAAAAAGTTCTATATGAGGGGGAAAAAGAGACGAGGCGAGACGAACAAACGAAAAGAAAAAAATCGTGAAAACGATGATTGTCGAAACATAAAAACACACGAACATACGTAAATCTTTTGAACCATGGTGGTGGTGGTGGTGGTGGTGGCCATAAGATAAGAATTGTGTCAATTGTGTGTCTAATAAAGTGTGAAAGTTTTTTTGTTGTTGTTGTTGTTGTTGCCTTTACGTGTTTTTTTTTGTTCATTCATCGACCAAAATGAAAAAAAAAAATTGACAATAAAAACATTACAGATTTATGATTGTATCGATTGTACGTGTATGATAACAATCGAATCATCATCATCATCATCGACGTCGTTATTGTCATAATTTTTTCAATTAACACTATACGTTAGGAAGCAGAGCAACATGTAGGCAAACTTTTTAGGGTTAAACGAAATTGCCTACTAAAATACTTAACTCCTACTTAATTTACTTTCCTCAAAGAATCAACTCATAATCTAGTGTCTGCCAGATTCTGAAATTGGTATTCAAAATGAATTCAAAACCATTTTTATATTATGATAGAAAAAATAAAAATTTATTAATTTTTTTTTTTTTTTTTTGAATATAATATTGAATCCACACTCATTTGTGAAATGGTGTGAATATCATATCAATAATAATTTCATTACAAAATATCAATAGTTGATGTGGAATTACTTTGTTTATGTGAAAGAAAAATAGGAAAAAATTGCTATAACAATTTTTCCTTTTAAAATTAGTTAATTATATCATTAATTATGAATTTTTGCCATCATTAAAATTGTTTCAGGAATATATATTATTTAATTCCAATACAAATTTGTTACAACATAAATATCTATATATATATGTTTATGTCCAAAGGTTTGATGAACGGATTATCATCTTCATGTATTAAAATGAAAATTAAAATATCGTTATATACACATTGTATGTTATCAATGTTCGTATAACGATTTTTCGAATTTTTTTTCCAGATCAATTTTATTTTTGTATGTGGATACAATACAATGAATTTCTTGATCAATCTAAATAAAAATTAATTGAATCGTAATTGATTATTATTATATCATTAACATTTAATTATGATAACTTACCAATAATTTATCAGACAAAAAAAAAAAATGGAAACTTAATGATTTGTTCCCATTTTATCGAGCGAACACAACTTTGTTACATGTTTTACTCCCATGAGCTCACCAATTAATGTAGTATATGAAAGAATTGTAATACAAATAATTTTCACACTAATTTGACCAACTACAACAATTCGAAGTTCGATTTTCAGGAACCGGATTGATTGAGTCAAGCACGTGTGTTTAGAGTAATCCAACAGTGAAGGAATAATGATAAGAATTTTTGAATTTCGAATTTCTTGCCTCTCTAAAATAAAATAAAAAAATCACCAACACTGCCATCTAACGTGAGCAAACATCAATGTATGAAAAAAAAATTAACAGGTGTTTTTTGTTTCACCATAATCATCGAATCAATTTTATTTTATTTAAAAAAAAAAACATTATTATCGAATAATAATTATATTACAGAATAATATTTGGTCATCATAATGGTGAATATCAAAGTTATAATTATCATCGATTGATTGGCCATAATATGATCAACAATATGATTCGATTCATAACATTCATTATACCAATCATTTTCATTCGTTATCAATAATGGTTGTGTAAATTTAATGAATTTTTCAAATGGACAAAATTCATTATGATCATCAATGTTATTGAATTTCATTTGGCTAGAAGAATGACAATAATCCATTGTTAATATTTGATCGGAAACATTGAATGTCATTGTTTGATTATTTGGTAAGATTGGATTTTTGTTTAAAATTTGTCGATAAATTATACGTATAAAATGTTTTGTTTCTTTAGTCATAGATGATGATACAGTTTGATAATGTTCAAAAACAATACCCGAACTATATGATGGTGGTTGACGATCAATTTGTTCATATAATCCAAGTGATTGAAGTAAAATTACCTGATTAACATCATGTGCTGAATAAAGAAAAAAACGTTGATGATCATTTTTTTCACCATTATCATCATCATTGATCATCATTAATGTACGAATATGTTCAGTAATATTGTTCAACAATAATCCAATACGAAGTTTTTGTATTTCATGTGGTTGCCAATCATACCAGAATGCATGATGTTTCATATCATTCAATTGTTCAATGATTGTTTGATTTTGCACCCAATCCGGTACTGATAATCGATATTCATCACGTTCTATTTCTAATGTTGTTGCTAAAAATTCCATATTTCTTAATGTATATGATTCTTTGGACCAATAATCTTGACCAGTTTTTGTGGACAAATAATCAATATAATCTCGTTTGGAATCAAGATAATTTTTAACCATTTTTGTATTCATCTGTTGTAACCAAACACGATCATGAAGGGGACATTTTTCACCAGTGGATAACATTTTACCATCTGTATAGATTTCACAAGCAATTTTTGTATCATTAAGAAAACTTTCCATAAATAATATTGCCGTTTCTTGTGCACGATGTGCCGGTGATGATAAACAATGTTGTGGCCAACCATTTGTTTGGCGTAAAAATTTATCATAAATTTTACGATAATATTCACCAGCAAAATGGATACGTAAACGTCCACGATCATTTAATTCACCTAAACCTTCGGGCCAATATTTTTCCACATCTTGAAATGGATCATTTGGGTAGAAATGTGTAGGCGTACGATCACCATGACGCATTAGAACATGAACTGATTTTAATTCCAATTCTTTTGGTTCATTGAATGTTCGTGCCAGAACAATGGCCACTGGCCATAATAATAACACAGCTAGAATGATATATTGATGATGAATTGAATAATAATCCATTTATATTGATTGATTGATTGAAATTTATGAAATTAAAAAAAAAAGTTTGCTTAAAAACACATATGATATTGATGATAATCACTGACGATTTGTCTGTCACATTGGAATGATGATGATGATGATGAGAAAAGATGTTTGTTTGTTTCCAACGCGACGGGACTGACATCTTTGAACCAAAAAAATATTTTATTACACTCGCATGCTGAAATTTCGAATGAAATTTTAAAATTTTATTTTTATTGTGGCCAATGTTCAAGTTGTTTTTTTTATTGATTTATCAACTACAGAAAATTTTTATCTCATCATCATAATCATAATCATAATCATCATTGACGATGATATTCATAATATTGTTGCCAAAATTTACATTCAATTTGTTTGAAATTCAATCCATAACTTTGATGTGTACGATATTCATTGGATAATTCATAATATGGTTCAACGACAACTTTTTGCAATGATTCACCATCATCTACATGGAAATAGCTTTGCCATTCTGGTTGTTCAATTTGATTTGGTTGACTATTTGATTGATTAATAAAAAGTTAAGTTATTAAATTTTTCTTTTCACAATAAATAAATAAATAATTTTACCCATTTCTTGTGAATGAATGTACAAATGAAATCAATTCCATCGATATATCACGTACGCGTTGATTATATTTAGATGGATGACGAATTGGATCACCAAACAATGGAAATTCATCATCACCATGACATGCACCGGACCATTTTGGACACCATTCACTAGTTTTAATTGGATAATATGAATGATAAAGTTGATAAACATTAGCATGGCCATCATTATGGCTAATATGGTGGCCAAAATTAATTGTAGGACATGCTAGCCACATATCACCGAATGCAATGCCAACGGTTTGTCTTAATAAATCTGGTTGATCTGTTTTTGGATTTAAACCATTAAAATAAATTTTTGCTAACTGTTCTGTAGGAACTGGATATTTTTTCGATAAAAATGGTTCAATTGTTGTGGCCAATAAATCTTTAGCTTCATCCAATGAATCTAATGGTTCTGGATTTACAAATGAAAATTTTCGACCATCATCCACTCGATTCAATAATGTCAAAAACATTTGCATAAATGCTGAACCTTCATCTTTATCTGTCGATAATAAAAGACTGAAATCTTTTTTATGATTACCATCACGTAACATTTTGATTGGATGATCAGGTAGAAATTCTCCATCCACAACTGTATAACCTGAATGAATGAGAAAATTGAATTGTAGCAAGAAAAAAAACAATAGCAACTACTCTACTACTAACCATTGAATATCAAATTATCTGCATCAATCGTTTTTAATAATTCATTTTCATTCATTTGATTTAGACAATCAATCAATTTTTGGCTAATTGAATGATCTGAATCTGTAGCACAGCCAGCTTGCACGAATACGTCTTAACCATAAATCAATAAAATCTTCACGTGATAATACTTGATTCTGTATCGATCCAGACATCATGATGGCATTTTGATATAAATTTCTTGATATTGGCGATAAAATATGTGCACTAATCGACCATGATCCAGCACTACAACCAGCAATGGTTACTTGTTTTGGATTGCCACCAAAATAACGAATATTTTGTTGTACCCATTCCAATGCTAATGTTTGATCCCAAAATGCCATATTACCTTTGATATGTTCCACTTCATCCGAATAAAGTAGACCAAAAATTGATAAACGATAATTGAAATTAACAACAACAACATCAGCCATTGTTGCTAATGTACGACCTTCCAGATGTTTGATGGTCGAACCACCAATGATAAGACCACCACCATGTATATAAACAAGAACTGGTCGTAATTCATTTTCATCATGGACATCTACTTTTGGTGACCAAACATTCATATAAAGACAATCTTCATCCATATTGAAATTATAATAACTGGAACTATTTTCCCATGGATTTGATTGTAAACAAATAGATGGCCATTCTAATGCTTCATATGGTTGTTTGGTCAATTTTTCAATCGGTTCAGGACGACGAAATCTTCGATGACCAATTGGTGGTATTGCGTATGGGATGCCCAAAAATTGATCATACCATCTACCTTGTTCATCTTGTTGCCGTTTACCGATAATTTTACCACTTTCAATTGAAACTTGAACGGCTTCATTTGCCAATGTTTGTTCCAATAATGAAAGACATGATAATATTGAAAAAAGAAGAATGAAAAATTTTCTCGAAACCATTATCATCACCGTTGTCAAATGATGATGTCTTTTCGAATAAATGATGATGGTAATACACACACAACAAAATCAAATTACCGGCTCGGCTTTTATTTCGGTTATATAATGAATGATCACCAAAAAAAAACCACTACAGTGTCCAGACATACACTGTTCACAAAATCAACAAAAATGACATGATAATCACGTACAAACAAGAAAAAAACTTTTTGATTATAATTGATCATAATAATAATAATCGTGGCCAACCAAAACAGCAACAACAACAACAACAACAACAACAACAACAACAACAACGACGACGACGACAACTACAATAATAAAATTTCCATGTTCATCATTCGATTTGATTTGTGTGTGTGTGTGTGCATTTAGCCTTGATTTGATAATAATCACCATCACCATCATCATTGAATTCAATTTTTTTGTTTTCAGACTCGCCTAAAATGTATCTTGAAGACGAAAAAGAAAAAGAAACTAAATATAAACTTATATATATTTTTTTTTGTTGTTCGATAAATATCGATATCAATTGATTCGATTCGATTTGATAGTATCGGTTTTGTCGTAGCCGGGTACACACATATCGATTATTATTATTTTGTTTTCAATCATTTAAATTGTCATGATTTGTGATTAGATTTCAATTTGCATGACAATTTGTTCATCTGTTTTTTTCGTGTGTGTGTGTGTCTGGTTGACATATTTGACATTCAAAATTTATTTTCTTAATCATCTACATCCAATCTTTGTGTGTGTGTGTGTGTGTGTGTTTTTTACATAACAACAACAACAACAATCACAGACGATCAAATTTGATTTTTGACAAGAAACAAAAAAAAAAAATTTTTTTATTCATTTTCAACCACATCAATAATGTCTTTGCCAGAATTTACATTGAACAGTATGTAGATTTAAATGATAATTTTGATATGTTGGATAATCGTTTGATAATTCATATGATGGTGCTACTAATTGTCGATCATTATCATGGCCAATCATTGAATATGGTTTCCATTCTGGTTGTTCCGATTGATTTGGTTGACTGGGGAGATGTACACATGTATCACCGAAAACAAAAAAAAATTTTCAAATGAAAATTCAATCCGACAAAAAAAACCACATACCCATAACGTAAAAATGAATACAGTAATGATAGAAATTCTCTGGAAATATCACGTTCACGTTGATGATGATGATCGGGATATTGAATGGGCATGCCAAACATTGGAAATAAATCATCCATATGACATGTACCGGCCCATTTTGGACAGAATGGTTTTTCATTCAATTTAAATGTACTATACAATTGATATACACGTATATCATCATTTTTATGGGAATTTTTTGCCATTTCTTGTCCAAATTCAATTGTTGGACATGCTAACCAAACATCACCGAATGCTTTTCCCACCATTTTTCTTAATACATTTTCATCTTCATCTTTACGGATACCATTGAAATATACTTTGGATATATCATCCAATGAAGGGGATTTTGTCACATATTGTCCGGACAATTTTGCAATCACTTTGATTGCATCATCAGTGGATAATGAATCTGCATTTTCAAAGGCAAATTTTTGACCAATTTCTTCACCCATTAGATAACCGGCTAGGAATTGAAGTAGACCAGATGTTTCTTCATCAACAGTGGATATGATAACGTTGAAATTTTTTTTAAAATTTCCTTTTCTCAGCATTTCAACCGGATGTTCGGGAATCAATTCACCATCGACAACCAAATAAGCTTCATTGATTTGTAGTGAAGAAAAAAAAATTATGAAAACGTAACAAAAACCACACACAGTCACATACAAACTTACATTCACAGCCATTACCAGTATAATATGGAATCATTTCCAATTGTTCTGGTGTCATTTTCATCAAACATTCAATCATTGCCGTATCAATATTTTCATCTTGATCATTGGCACATTCTGTATGGCGAATATTATCAAGCCAGAATTTTTTCGCTTTTTCTGCCGTCATTATTTGCCTTTGTACACTGCCGGACATTATTATTGCTTGTTTGAATAAATCACGTGATATTGGCGATAATATATGGGCACTGACTGACCAACCACCAGCACTATTACCGGCTATGGTGATTTGATCGGGATCACCACCAAAATGTTGGATATTATCACGAATCCAATGTAATGACATTATTTGATCCCATAACACCATATTACCATTAACATCATTCATATGATCTGCATATAAAAGACCAAAAGTGGATAAACTGAAAAAAAATCAAAAGTAGATTACTATAGTGGATAATTTGTAAGAAAAGAAAAATTTACCGAAAATTAACCGTTACAATCAATGCATCGGTCATTGCGGCAAAAATTCTGCCATCATAAAGTGGTAGACTAGAACCACCATATAGAAAACATCCACCATGAAAATATACAAATACTGGTCGTAATTTCTGCTGCTGTTGTTGTTGTTGATTATCACAATTCTGTTGATCACATTGATCATCGTTCGATGACATCGCATTATCAAGTGATGATGGTGACCAAATATTTAGATAAAGACAATCTTCTTGAAATGTTTGATTCAAATAGACAGAATATTCATTAAATTTTGGTACAGCTATTTGACGACAATTTGATGGCCAATTTAAAGCCATCAATGGTTTTTGATCATAACCATCAACAATTGGTTGTGGTCGACGAAATCGTTGTTCATCGATTGGTGGCTGTGCATATGGTATACCGAGAAATTGATCAACATAACGATTCACTTGTTCAATGATCAATCGTTTGCCGACAATTTCTCCGAGACCAGTGTTGACATGAACATAGTAATCATCATTTGCCAAACATTGATGAATAATCAAAACAATGGCAATGATGATGGTAAACAATTTACAACTATTCATCATTATATGGTGGCCAGAAAAATAAAGAAAAAAAATTTTCAATGAAATGAAAATTCAAACTTGACTTGAATTTTAAGGTGGTTGTATTTATATATTCATCGATCAAAAATTAACAAAAAAAAAAAAAAAAGAAAACAAAAAAACGTTCAACATTGAATCGAATCGAACGCACACAGACAACGTTTTGCTGCAGAAAAAAATATTCAATACGATAACATTATCGTTTATCATCATCGAATGAAATTTTTCATTTCACTTGTAATTATAATTCATCACATTATCGATTATCGATATGTGTGTGTGTGTGTGTGTGTGTGTGTATGTAAAATACTTGAATCGATCATGTTTTATTTTTGGTGGTTTCAATGATTGAATTTTCTTTTTTTTTTTTTTGTTATCATCAGAAAAAATCAATTTTTATTCTCACTGATAATTTTCAATTTCAATTTATCTAAATTATTCAATTCGATTAATCTTTGCACGTTCTCTCCCTCTCTTTGCCTCTTTCATTAGTTCGTTTTTTTTTTTTTTTTTTGATCGAAGAAAATCGATTAACAAACGTTTTTCAGTACAAAATAAAAATTTGTCGTAGCCTTCTACAAATGTGAAGGACATCAATCAACTGTGGGGAAAAAAAATGTAATCACCACCATGATCATGTTGATTTTGGCGCCAAGTTTTAAATTTCAAAAAAGAAAATTTTTCCCATATCATTTTGAACGTCAACCAACAGATGGCAACAGGGTCGAGTATGTGAAAAAATTTGCATTTTTTTTGATCAACAAATTTTTTTTTTTATAAATAAAACTAAACATAAACATTTCTGGATATCATCCAATAATTGAAAATGGAAAGAAAAAGAAGAAAAAAAATTTTTTTTGTCACTCATTATAATTACCATCCATTCATTTATTCATTCAAAACAATAAAATGTCACACACACACACACACACAAACGATGATGGTTGAAAAGTCATTGACATCATCAAAAAAAAAACGAAAGATTCGTTATCCGGTTAACAATGACAAAAATGTACGACTTTCTCTCTCTCTCTCTCTCTCTCCAACATGAATCATTTGCGTTTCATTTTAGTCCATAATGATTGTCGATATAATAAACACCAGAACCAAGCGATTAGAGTGGACCAAATGGTTGTAATAAAAAAAAAAAAAATTCGAATAAAGAATTTGTAACTTCTGTTTTATTTTTTTTTTTTTTTGGCTACAAAACAAACGGTTTTTTTCTTGGCACACAATGGTTTAATGAACTCCGTTGTCATTTGTTGTTTATCGCTGACAGCAGCAGCAGCAGCATCATCATTTTATTTTGATTCTGCAAAAAAAAAAAAATTTTTTTTGATTTGTCATCAGTGGAACTTCCAAAAGTTCGAATTGCGCAACAACAACCAAACACACACACACACACACACACACACACACAATGAATTCCGAATTTCATTCAATTAACACTGTGTGTGTTTGTGTGTGTGTTTCATCATCAAGATGAAATTTTATATTACACACACACACACAGGTAATTTGTCATTTGATTTCAACCAACAACAACAACAACAAAACTTTAATTTAAATCAAAAGTTCATTGTTCTTGTATTGTATCGTTCAATTATTATTCATTCTTCGTGTGTGTTCGGGTACTATGCACGAATTTCTAGATTCTCTAGTCGCATACACACACACACACACAGACAGCCAGAATAAATGATTATTGATTGTGAATGAGTCATTGATATGAGGTGTAATTGAATTTCTGGTTTTCTTTTTTTTTTTTTTTGCTCTCTTCTTTTACATTTTCTACTACCCATTCTCATTATAATTCTCCTCCTATTTTACAAATGTCTAAATTACGGTCATTGAATTTTTTTTTTCTGTTTTGGTTTTGTTTTGTTTTCGGTCATTGATTTGATCTTGAATTTAAAATTTCATTGGTCATAATCATGATCGATCGATTGATCAATCAATCGATCGATTGATCAATTTTAATGTTGTTGTTGATGATGATGATGATTTAATCTGAAAAGCAAAAAAAAAACTCACATAACAAACATAGAATGAAACTGGATAATTCTGGATTTTTGTTTATAATACACACACACACACAGAGTGAAAGAATGTCATCATCACATCATTTATGGCCAAAGAGATTTACATTTCAAATCAAAATATTACACACCATTAAAAAAAATGAAAAATTCATCGAAAATCAAGGAATTCAAACAAAAAAAAAATTCGTGAAATTTTTAAATTTTCGATTGTTTCGCATATTCAACACAATCATCATTGTTGCTTCCTGTATTTTTTTTCCTTCTTGTTCAAATGATGATGGTGGTGGACAACAGGATCTTCTTTTTTTTTTGCTTCGGTCATCGAGATATGATCTTTATAGATGGAAAAATGAATGAGGAAAAAAATGAGAGAAATGAACGAATGAATAAAATGTGTGTGTGTGTGTGTGTGATGCCTCACGATTTTTCATTTTCATTTTCGACCATTACATTGTTGATGTAGTTCATTTTTTTAATTTTTTTCAAGCACCTGTCTCTGGCCTATGGGATTACATACAAACAAAACAGAGACATGACATACGAAAACAATTTTGATGGACACAGATGAACTTTGAATAAAAATAAAAATAAAAAAAAATCCACCTTTTTGTCGTGTGTGTGTATTCATCATAATTAGATTACGTAAATGAATGAATTCTTGTGAAAAAACAGAATTTTCACCATATGAAAAGTTTTTTTGGTAGAATCGAAGAATTTTTTTTCTTCATTATTTAGTGTTTAATTATTCATGTGTGTGTGTGTGAAAACTTTTTTTTCTCATTTATTTCAATAATGATGATGATGATGATTATTGAAATAATCACAATTAACAAGAATAATGAAAACAGATTCTGGATTCTGGATTTCATTCATTCATTCATTAATCATTTATGTGTGTTGCAACAACAACAACAAGAAACTGAATCGAATGACAAATAAAAATTACTTCTAGCCTGGGCAATTTCCGATGAAATTGAAAATGTTTGCGAAGAAAATAGAAATTTACCTAGAACCAGATCCAAAATCATCGATTCGATTTGTTTAAATTGGTAAAACAAGAAAAAAATCAGAAACAGAAATTGAAAAGCCAAAAAAAAAAAAAAAAAAAAAAAATTCCAGGGAAGAAAAATTTTTTTAAATTGAAATTTCAAACAAACAAACAAACAAACGGTATTTGGTTTTTGAAATTAAATTCTTTGGAATTTTTTCTTTTCGTTTGTTTGCTTTTCCAGTGGACATGAACATGGACACATGGACAAACCTACATGTATTGCAAATCATTAAAATTCATGGAATCTGGGCATGTGGTGTGTTTTTTTGTTTGTCTGTTTGTTTGTATGGGATGATTTGTCGTAAGAAAAACAAAACAAAAGAAAAGAAAACATGTGTCATATATATGGTTTATATATCTGTATAATTCATCATCATCATCATTGATGTGACGAAAAAATCATTCTTTTTTTTTGCTCATGTGACAATTTTTTTTCGAATATAAAACATCTACTACTAAATCCACACATACACAAAAAGAAACTGGAAAATCCGTATACAAACAACGAAATTTTCAATTTTGAAAACAAAAAGAACCAAAAAAAAAAAAAATGTCGATAATCTTGACAACAGCATGTGGATTATTATTATTATTATCGTTGAAAGAGAAAGAGAGAAACCATATTTAGTTGATAAGCAGTAGCGAGAATACAAAACAAAACAAAACCAACAAAACAAAAAAAAATCAAATTTCCGGTGATGATGATGATGATGATGAAAACATCATGAACCAATCATTCGTCCAGAAAAATAAAAAAAAAAACAATGCCCATTTCCAGATTATTCCGTTTCGTTTTAAGCTCATTTTTTAATCAATTTTCGCTGATTACTGAAACAGAAAAGATCCAATTTCAACATCCACCATTACTACTAATGCTGCTACGACAACGATGATGATGAAGAAAAAAAAATCAAAACAAAAAAAAAAACCAGGATAATACCAAGTTCGTTGATTGGATTGATGCAAAACAAAACACAGAAAAAAAACACATGATGATCATCATCATTAGGCGTCATTTCTCGCTTTCAATACACAGCAGAAATTTTGTGTTTGTGTTTTTTGTATGATGATGTCTATCAATACACAAGTACAAACATTGCATGCACATATTAAAACAAAAAAAAATCACATGACAAAATTCAAAGATTTTTATATATTATGGTGTTTATTATTATTGGCTTGTGGGTTGTTTTTTTCGTTTTCGTTTTCTTACCACCATTATTTTCAATTCAACAATTTTTTTTTTTGTTTATATTCAACGACCTCGATCGTTGATGAACATAATCATCGAATGTAGCATGATTGAAGAATAATAAGAAAAATTTGTTCTAATCACAAGACTTGATGCTTGATACATACACACACATGTTTGATTAAATCATCAAATCAAATGATCCAAATATCCTTTCTATGTGAATGTTTTTTTTTTTGGTTGTTTGAATTTTTTTTTTTTTGCTTTGCCCAAGGGTCAAAGATCATATATGATTCGTGATCCAAATGTTTGTACATTCCTAAAGGTGTGTTGTTTGATTATGGCCAGTGTTGATTTTTTTTTGTCTCTGGTTCAAGGGTCATGGTTGTAAATGGGCCACAAAGTCTTTTGTCTTCTCTCTCTCTCTCTGCTGTGCCTGGTATTTTTATATGAATGAAACACAAAAAAACATGAAAATAATTTGTCTGTCTGTTGAGGTGTGCATGTGTGTGTGTGTGTGTGTGTGTGGCCAAAGTTCATGAACTTGAACTCTAAAATAATTGAATTGGTAAATTGTTCAATGAATGAAAATTCTCATCATTCACAAATTGTGCAGATTTATTATTCTGCACAATTTTGTTTGTCTGTTGGTCAATATGTTTCAAAACACACACACACACACACAATACACTAC